TTTCCAAAGGAAGGTTTTATCTAATTATTCCAAATAATCCAAAACAACATAGCTGTACCATTAATGTAGTCTATTTTCTCATGTAAAGTTTGAGACTAAAAATGTAGAGAGGACAATCTCAGAATATAAGATGGTGTGTGTGTGTGTGTGTGTGTGAGTGTGTGTGTGTGGTGTGTGTGTGTGTGTGTTCATATGCATACATAATCTCTATTTTTCTCATCCAGATAGTGAAACATCACTATAGATCAGTATTTGAGCACAGCAGAGTAGAATAATTAACATTTACTAAATTCTTCATTCTTTAAATGCATTCTTTATTTACCATGTTTTGTATTCTTAAAACTTTATCTCTAGTCTTCCTGTACCTAGAATAGGCTTATGATAAAAATATACCTGCAAATCCCACAATAGGGCATGCCAGTGGTAGGTGTGCGATAAATAGATGCTAGCTACAAACTGATTTATAAATAATTTTTCAATATCTTTTCTATTTAATTTTGCCCAGATTTTGTTTCAAATTTCCAGAGAAATTAACGTATTCTCCATCAGGGTCTGTCTTAAAGGAGATGGCCAAGGACTGGAATAAAAACAGCTAGAGATAATGGAAGCATCTTAAATCTACATCTCTGAGGTATATTTTTATTAAATTACCCTTCAAGATGTCCCTCCATGTACAGTAAGTCCTCGCTTAACATTGTTGATAGGTTCTGTGACTTTAAGTGACATGGAGTATAATGAAACCACTTAACCATAAGCTAATTCAGCAATTTTCAACCGGTGTGCTGCAAGAATTTTTAAAATAAAATATGTAATACCTGACTGTTTAGTCAGGGGCACTGACCTCTTTTCCTTTAGACTGTCAAAAAAATAACAACAGCCAACACAAGAACGGGCGTCCAGTGTGAACGAATCAAAATTATATCTTTTTTTTTTCTGTCAGACTGGCAAAAGTATAATACATTTTTTGGTGTGCTGCAGAGTTTTGGTAATTAGTGTATGAGATGAAAAAGGATGAAAATCTCTGGGCTAATTGATATAAATGAGACTTAGGTTCTTGACATCTCATCACCATTATAATAAAATGACATTAACTGAAATGATTGGATTCAAAGACGTGCCATAGTTATGAGTGCTGTCAAATGATAGAACTAAAACAACTTAGTAGTGAGTTTGATGCCCTGTCCTTTATAAAAGGTCTTAGCAGGTGGGAGATCACATCCACAACACAAGGCCAATGTAGAGCCAACTGGCTTTATTGCATGTGCCTGGGTGCAGGCGGGCTGAGCCGAAAAACGTTGAGCCTCGAATAACAGTTGGGGTGTAGGTTATATACTCTACTTCCAGCTTCCAGCAGTTCTTGCTGATGTACTCTGCCTGCCTAGCCCATTATCCATTTTGCAGTTGAACTGGTCTGGTATCTTGTCTGGCATCTGCTGAGTGATTCGTTGTCTTGTGGATAATTCAGATAGTCCATACTCAACAGAAGGCTGAGCAACACAATTTTTGATGGTTTCCGCCTTTTGCAAGCTTTTACCTTTACCCTTTAAAACATTATTAACCCTTTCACTTTATTCAAGGTAAAACAAGTCATGTGTTGGGGGAGTACCATTCCTAAGGGATCTGGGACAAGGACAAGTTTTATAAAGCATTAAAAGAGTCAACTTGGAATCAGAGCATGATTGGCTAGGAGGCTGAAGATTTCCTTTTGAGATTAGCAGGTCCTGTTTTCTAGGGTCAGGTAAGCTACTAAATCTGAGCTTGAGGATTGTGATTGGAGCATGTTAGGTTTCCTTGACAGTAAGGCTTCCTGTAAGGGTAAGCTGACGTAGGTTTAGATTTGTGACTTGGGCCAGGCCATTAGGACAGCCTCCACTTTGTAAGTCCTGATATAAGAATTAACTTTATCAATACCTTAAAACAGACTGTTTGCTAAGTAACTAGAAGTTTAGAAGCCAAAAAGCAGACCCCTAATAAGTGAAGAAATTGATATTATATTAAGTTATGACAGAGGTTCCTTGACTGATAAGCATCAGAACCACCTAGAGGGTTTGTTAAAGAATTAATCGCTGGACCCCACCCCCAGATTTCTGATTTGGTGGGTCTGGAGTGGGGCTGGGAATTTCGCCTTTCTAATACATTCTCTAGTGAGGCTAATGCTGCTTGTCGGAACACACTTTGGAAACCATCAGTCACGGAGAGTCCAAAACAGAAAACTACGTAGGGGAATGTCCAACACATGCAAGCCTTCAGCAGAAGGATCCTGGGAACATGAGAAAAAGCTGTCAGAGAGGAGACATTCTCTAAAAGGAAGATTAGAGAATAACTAGGACTATCAACTTGACCTTCGCATCAAAGATGTGCTCCAGTAAACCAGTTCCAATTTGGTCTTCAGGTTGCATAGGCGTTCTCTGATGTTCTTAAAGGCCACATTGTTGTGATGAATTCTACCAGAAGCTGCACCAATGGTAGAATTCCAAGTCCTCCAAGATCTGTTTCGATCTACATTCTGTTTTCCCTAAAAGTTTGAGTCCTTAACTATAAGGCTTCTGTAGTGGCCAAGTCCTTGCTGACCTAGACCATCCTGACCACCTACATACTCTGCTGCCCTTTCACGCCCTGATGTCTGTCTTGTTTTCTGCACTGTAACAGATACATTTCATATAAATACTCAAACAAAATGATTCTTCTTCCCACATGGGAGGAATTTCTTCATCTTTAACAATAACACAAACAATACTAATCTTCCCTTTGGTAAATTCATTTCAGGTTTTATTAAAGAAAGAACTATTGATTTGTGTGTTTGAGTTGCTTTTATCTACTTAAAACAATAAAAGTGCAAAAGGAAAAAAAATTTAAAAATTTCAAGCAACAACAAAATTTTTTTTATTAAGACAAGACTAAAAAGAAAAATTCAAAAGATTCAAAAGTTTTCCATAGCTAAAAAGAAACTAAAAAGGAAAACTAGAATCAAACAACAAAATAACAATATCCAAAACGCTTATTGGGCACTTACTGTGCTAAGGGCTTCATATGCCTCATGTTATTCGGTTCTGACAGCACCCTGTAAGATTAAAGTGATCATTGTATCTCCATTGTAAAGATGAAGTAACTAAAGAACCTACTGATTAAGAATTTGTCTAGTTGTACTTTGGGTAGGGTCAGGATTTTAACCCCATTGTCTGGCTCAAAGTTCAAGCCTCTTACCCATGACTCCCATGACTAATTACTAAAGCAATCTTTGACCCTTAATTGCAATACTAATTATTTTTTAAAACCCTTGACAAAATGTGCAATAAAATAAAGTCCAATATTTCAAATGACAAAAAATAAAAAAAAGGCAAGATACTAAATTGTAAGGCATTAAATATATAGCCCATTGCTCCAGCTCTCTGGTCAGAGAATGGAAGGTACAGAACAAACACTCCTCCAGTTTCTTTGAGGCAGTGTCTCGCCTGAAAGAGAAAGGAAATGCCCTCCATGGAGGTTTTTCCTCTGGTTGATCATAACATCAATGAGTGTTCCTTGGAAATTTCTGACACAGATAGGAAAGGGCGAGTGTTGGCTTAGAATGGGGAAGACATTCAACCTTCTTTTGAAGAGGCAGTGGGTGGGTCCATCACGCTACCAAAAAAGGTAGGAATTGCATCATACCCCTGCTAAGCAGAAGACAGCAGGAATTGGGGTGTTTTCAGCCTAAAGGCATAGTTTGTATGAAAATTAAAATCTGGAATAGCCGTAGTCAGTTTTCTCAGTGGTTAGAGCATCGGCCTATAGATCAGAGAGTCAGGCCATCAATTCTGGTCAAGGGCATGTACCTTGGTTGTGGTTGGGTCCCCAGCCCTGGTTGGGGTCATGCAAGAGTCAAACAATTGATGTGTCTCTCTCACATTGATGTTTCTCTCTCTCTCTCTCTCTCTCTTTCCATTTGAAGATAAATGGGAAAATGTCCTTGCATGCAGATTAGAAATCTAGAATAAATAAAAGGCAGGAAACAAGATTAGGAGTTAAGAAACTGAGAGTCTCCAGCTGAGCCTCAGGAAGAGAGTCAGGATCATTGAGAGAAATCTTCAATTAAAACTCAGAGCCGAGAGCACTGATGCAGCCGATTTCCAGGGAAAAGGAAGACCAGGGATGGAATGGCTTCTGTCACAGGGAGGTATCTCTTTCTCCGTCCCATTCTGGCTCACCAGTTGACAGTTGGAGGTCCAGGCTACATACTTTCTTTTTCAGAGCAACACATAGCTTCTGGCTTTAAATTAGGAGTTGTCCGGCTTTGAAGTGAATGAAATATGAAGAACAAAGAAACATTTGGAATGATAAACAGAGAAGTTTTTCTTTTTCTAGGTTGTTCTTTGGCAACATGCATTTTCTAAAGGATGAATTACACTGGATAGGAACAAAGTTTAATAAATATGTAGCAATTCTTAAGGATGTCATTAAAATTGATCATTAAAGGAACTATTGGAAAATATAAATAAGTCCAATAAAAAAAATCACCCAAGTCATGTATACACTGATTTTAACTTTATTAAGCATGCAAACGAGACCTTGAGGTATTAAGCAAAAATTAAAATTATATCCCAACCGGTGTGGCTCAATGGTTGAGCATTGACCCATGCACCAAGAGGTGGCCAGTTTGATTCCCAGTCATGGCATATGCCCAGGTTGTGGGCCTGATCTCCAGTGGGGGCATGCAGTAGGCGGCCAGTCAATGTTCTCTCTCATCGATGTTTCTCTCTCTCTCTCACTCTCCCTTCCTCTCTCTCTAAAAATCAATAAAAAAAAAATTTTTAATTAAAATTATATCTATGTCATTATGGGTAATTCTAATCTGTACCATCTTTTAGATAGCAAAACACTTAAAATTTTATATTAAAATGTTAATTTCTTTGTATGAAATTCCATAATTCCTGTCAATGTCCAGAGCTTTGAAGAACAGAAGTTTAGTTTATGGTTTTTGACTTGTGTTTTTGTTTTATCTATGTGTGTGTTTTCCCTAGGAGTGGAAACTCATCAACGTCCGTCTTCTCTACTGAAGATGGACCATTTGTAAAATTAAGCACAGCATCTAATGGCAGCTTAATACTAACACCAAGGTGGGTCCCAAAATCTGTTCTTGGACAAGTTGTACATGGATTGGAAAGAAGATAGATTTTTGAAGCCAGTCATATTTTAATTCCATTAATACTAGCCGTATAATCTTGAAAATTACTTAACTTTTTTATTCTTCAGGTAACCTCAAACAGTTTCTAATTGATCCCATCTGATAACATTGTCTAACCCCCGTATAAGTGGCAACATAGTCAAATAAGATATTGTATGTGTAAATGATTAACACACTGATAACAACCCAGTAAATTCTAATTCCATATTCTTTGATCCTTACCCTCAGATTCATAAACAAGTAAATCCCATCAAAATAATCTGTGAGAGTTGAAATGAATCAGTCCAATGTGAATCAGATTAACGAGAGCAACAGAAGTTAGCTATTCTCAAAAGAGGAGAAAGCCGTGGTAATCTTTTTTCCACCTTAGCAAATAGAACACAGATAAGAAGGGAGGCAGTTTAGACTTCTGGTTGTGTCTACATATTCTCTTTTGCTCTTTAAAATTAGGTTCACTTTTATAGCTTTTACTGATGTTTTACAAAGCAACATTCTTCTCATATTCAAAGATCTGTTATAGCTTAGATTATGTCATTTCTACTGTTTGAGCACTGACAGAAAGTTCTGTTGAACTTGACTTCCGAATCTCATGGTTCCATTAAAGGCCAGCTGTGAGTGGGAAAAAGGTAACTACGGGAAGAAGCCCTAACTACAGACGAGAGTTTAAGATGTCATAACGGGTGCATTAGCTTATCGTGTTTTGTTTAACAAACGTAATGGTGAAAACTGAAATTATAAAATTATTCAGCTATTCATGAAAGGTTTCCATTTCTGTAGGGTCAACCAGTAACACAAACTGAGAAAGGAGTAGTTTTTGTACCAAAGAACTCTGCAGTGGAATGTTTTATATGAATTTTTGCTGGGCCTTGAGATGTTCAGTGTCATGGGGCCGAAGCGAACACCTGCAAGCAGACTTCTCGATTTCCTGCACATTGAGACATTCTTTTATTTATCTTATAGACATTTAAAGTGATGAAAAGAACAAAGGACAAAATATAAAAAACATTCATCTTCATTAGATACATGTTTCAGAGAAAAAAATGAGGTTATTCTATGCATTTTAACAAAATGCCGGTATCACCTTACTTTGACATCCGTACTGTAGGTGTGTTTATGCTATGTGGCAGAGACACCATTCACAGACATAGCTACTTTAAACTTTCAAAACATCCACTCCCAGGGTGGTCCTTCGTGCCTTCTTCAATTAGCCATGTTATACTGGATTAGTGGAAATCAGACATATGAATATTTAGTTAGGTAGTTTATTTCTATGTGTCTGTATGCATTACATTTATTGCCCTTTGAAAACTGGTGTTTCTGAAAACACCCTTGCACTCATGGTTATGATTAACTTCAGTACAACAGATACAAACCCATCCATTTGTGTCACAGTATTGCTCCCACCAAGCTGAGAGCATGACACGGGATCGTGGCATTTTCTTTCTTTCTTCCTGTCGGAGGGCGAACCCAGCTCCAACTCCGCTGCCAAAGGCCAGGGCGGTAATTCTGTTTCTCTCCCATCTCAGTCAACACACCTGCACCGACTGTGGATCCACTGCCCATTCTGACCGGAGGTTAAGCAACTTACTCCTCTGTTCCGAGACACCGTGCGCGCGCGTGTGTGTGTGTGTGTGTGTGTGTGTGTGTGTAAGTTTTGACTATCCAAAATGCATGGAGAATGAAGAGTACAGTTTGGTTTAATTTTTTGGTGAATTTTAACCAGAAAATTTTCTGTACTCACTAAAAAGTAATTCATTCGTTTTAACACACTGCAGAGTATTTAAGGATTTTCTAATATCTAAGAATGATGAACCATTTTGAATATGGATTTTCACTGATGAGTACTATAGATATAGAAGGATTTCAGATAAAACTTGGCAAATCCCAGAAATTACTTCTCTCCCACCTATGAGTAAATAACAGAAGGGGAGTTCATTGGAAGTTCTTCCTTGAAGAATTCTGAATATGTTTTGCTATAGCTATATTTAGATATACATACAAGCATAGTGCTTATTAATAAAATTAACCTTATCATGTTTTCCAGAAACACAGAATTGCTTTGGTTGTACTTACGATCTCAGATGGACCTGGGGTCTTATTTTGTGTTTTCTGTTTTGTTTTTTTCCTAAAACTTCAAGCACCTGAACAACATGAACAATAGATATAGTTAAACATATAAATAGAAATCATTAAAATGATAAGTGTGTGCAGGTGTGTGTTAATGTGACTACTATCTGCAGTGGCTGCATCAGGAAATAGTGGGACAAGTACTTTGATTCCTTGTATTAGACTGATCTCTAGTGGTTGGTAAGTATAACACATTTCAAAACTTTTTTTGTTGTTTAAAATAGAATACCTGGCTTTGAATAAAATTGGTATCCAAATATTTAAACAGGTAGTGCGTTTTTAAAGTATTTATAACTAGATTTTATTTTGTATTTGCTATTTATATGTTTACCTCCCTGGAAAGCATGACTTTTGATTAATTCATCATTGAATTCCCTGCATGAAGTTCAGTCTCACACGCAAAGTGAGGCTCTGACTAGTTGTCTGAAAGGAATATTGAGGCATATTATTCTGCATTATAGAATGATGAAATCCAACGTTGGTTCAGGCAAATTAGTAACAGCTGTCATTTATTGAGTGTTCATTGTGTACAAGGCACAATAGTATAAAATAATTTTTACATCTCAGAAAATTCCAATAAAGTAAATACCATTGTCCCCATTTTATGGATGACCAGAGGGAGTCCGGGGATACTGAGCAACTTACTCAAATCATGAAGTGTAAGTGGTAAAGGACACAAACGCAGTTCCATTGGACTTTAAACTGAGAATTTCTTGCTTTGTATTTCAGCCTCCCCACATTTCACACATGATACTCACATTTAAAAATTCATTTAACTAAAAAAAGTAGGATAACCTACACTGCATTATGCTTTAAAATGTCAGGTGCGTAATTTCTGAAATATAATTGTTCTTCTATTACAGTAAACGGTGTTTCCAGGATTCACTGATTCTGTTACGGTGTAACCCTAAATGTAAGTAAATATTTTGTCATGTTTTCTTCCAAGCCTTCAGTTTAAAATTCTGAATAGAGCTGGTACTTTGTGGCAATCCACTCCATTTTCACGATCAGAGAAAATCCAGCCACATACAATCGAGGCTCTTTCTTCAATTATTTTAATAGCATGTGGGGGGAAAATGGTCGCTCAAGAAGTCAGCCCTAAGATTGCTGGAGGACATGACGCCAAAGAAGGAGCCTGGCCCTGGATCGCTGCTCTGTTTCACAACAACAAGCTGCTCTGTGGTGCCTCTCTCGTCAGCAACGCCTGGCTGGTGTCTGCAGCCCACTGCGTGTATGGGTGAGTACGACGTCAGTGTCCCTTCCCAAATGAGATGACCAGGGCAGACACCGTGCATCCATTCCCTGTAGCCTCACAATCCGTCTCAGCAGGGAGATCTTCCCACTGTTTGTGACGTTATGAACTTTCCAATCATTTTCCCATTGTAATCATGTATAATATAGAGAAAGTTCAATTACAAATCATTCTTTGGTCCGGCCGGTGTGGCTCAGTGGTTGAGCGTCGTCCCATATACCAAGAGGTCATCGGTTCGATTCCTGGTCAGGACACATGTCCAGGTTGCTGGCCCGATTCCCAGTGGGGGGCATGCAGGAAGCGGCCAATCAATGTTCTTTCTCATCAATGTTTTTATCTCTCTCTCCCTCTCCCTTCCTCTCCCTGTAAAATCAATAAAGGAAAAAAAATTTTTTAATCATTCTTTGTTAGATATTTACATCAAGTACTATGTCTCTTACATGCATAATAATGGAAAAGTAAACATTTTTAAAGGTGTAAAATTAGTATTTAATGCATAAATTGTACTGGCTATTATTCAGTTAGGCCAATATTTATTGTCAGTATCTAAAAGCTCTCCATCACAAATAAATTATGCTAAAAAATTCGGGTGTAAGGACTTAATTACGAATTAGGATAAAAATGTTTACTTAGCCCTGGCTGGTTTGGATCAGTGGTTAGAGCATCAGCCCACAGATCGAAGGGGCACAGGGCATGTACCTGGGTTGCAGGTTCAATCCCCAGCCCTGGATTGGGGTCGTGTGGGAGGCAACCAATCGATGTGTCTCTCTCACATCAATGTTTCTCTCTCTCTCTTCCTACCTCCCTTCCACTCTAAAAATCAATGGAAAAATATCCTCAGGTGAGGATTAATAAACAAACAAACAAAAATGTTTACTTAGTTTTCAAGTCAGCTCTATTTTGATTCTACCCATAACTGAAACTTACAAGTAATGTCAACCATATCTCCTTTTTTTTTTTTAGTAAGATGACAAAATGCATGTTGAATTCTAGGATTTAGTCTCCCTCTAGAAGAGCAGTTCTCAACCTGTGGGTCGCGGCCCCTTTGTGGGTCGCCTAAGACCATCGGAAAACACGTATTTCCGATGGCAATTCATAACAGTAGCAAAATTACAGTTATGAAGTAGCAGCAAAAATAATTTTATGATTGAGGGTCACCACAACATGAGGAACTGTGCTAAGGTGTCGCTGCATTAGGAAGGTTGAGAACCACTGCTCTAGAAGGAGCCATTCCTCAAGCATGCCCCGGGAGAAACAGAATGGGCAGAGGGCCAGGGAGAAGAGGGGGAGAAAATAAATGTTCGTGAGCACAACAACTTGTTAATTCTCTTCTTCGGAAAGAAAGGAAGAATCTTTAGGTAATTCCATTCCAACACTTCTGAATTAAGTCAGACAAAAAGCTGGCTTCCTCTTAGAAAATTCATAAACCCTGCCCCAGGGTGATTTCCTGACCCTAACTAAGTAGAAGACTCCAAAAAATGGTCATCCCTGTGAGGGTTACAATAGCCTCTCCCAAGGACACCCAAAATCTCTGAGGAAAAAACCGTATGTGCTCAGATTAGAAGATTCAGCTGTAGTTAATCAAATTAAAAGACTGAACTCCCCACCAAAACAAACATTGAAAGTTCTTGGATAGGTGGAAACAAATTGTCACGGAAAGTTTTGTTGTTGTTTTTTTCTTTTATCCTCATCCGAGGACATTTTTCCATTTTTTGTACAGACAGAGTGGGAGGGAGAGAGAGGGAGAGAGAGAGAGGGAAACATCGATGTGAAAGGGACACATCGAGTGGCTGCCACCTGCACGACCATCCAGGGCCGGGGACAAACTGCAACCGAGGCACGTGCCCTTAGCGGGAACTGAACCCGGGTCTCTCCGGACCGCAGGTGGACGCTCTAACCGCTGAGCCAAACCGGCCAGGGCTGTCACGGAAAGTTTTGAAAGTTGTTTGGGAGATAAGGAGGGCCAGGAAGAATGAGTATTGACTCTATGCCTAAATACCATCATATAGAGTGAGGGTAAATGCGAATTCATAATCTTAGGAACTTGAAATGAAGACCCTCAGCCAGGTCACAGGTTGGCCAATTACCTGAGCCCCAAAAGGAACTAACCGTCTCTGGTACCGACCATCTACAGCTAAAGCTCTGTGATTCTATGCACTGAGCCTTATAACTCAATGACTAAACAACAGCTTCTCCCATATCTAAAGTGCACTTTCTTGACTTTGCTGCCTCCTGATAAATTGTATTTTAATCTGTTTTGAACCAGAACATAGCAAGCATCCTTCGTAGTCAATTTTTCTATCCCCTGCTAAACATGACTTTAACTTTTACCTATATTTATTCTTTGCCTTGGGCAAGTCACAGGTTGGTAACCTCTATCCTAACTGTGTCACAAGTAAAAGGTATCTTTAGCTAAAGGTTCAGTTCTTTCTGTTGCAGAAAGGTGGGCTTTAGTAAGTTAGCAATCTCCTATACTAACCTTGGATTTGGTAAATTCATCTTTTTGAAGTTTTTGCAGAACATATCTTTTCTAAAGTTACTTCGTAGAAAGTCCTTGTATTTGAGAAAACCATTTAAACTGTTCCTTTATGAGTCTTCATAAATCACCATTCTTTGAGAACTTTTTTGCTTTCTGGCAAAATAAGATGTTCCAGGTTCATCTTGTGTTTTCCATGCCCTAGCCCTCAAGTCAAGCTTTCTTTAAAAATCCCTGGTTCCATTTAGTCTCTTGTAATTCCTTCAACATTATATATAATGTGCGTGTGTGTGTGTGTGTGTGCACGCGCACGCTCATTGCTACTGCTTTTATGTCCTGCTCCTCGACCCTCTCAGTGGACACAACTGTATACCTGTAAGTGTGAACTCAAAATGATAGCTCAGCTAAAATAAAATACCACAGGGCATAGTCTAGTCTTTTCTCCCTCCATATGTTTAACTGTTATCTCCAGTAATAGGAATCTTGCTTGTACCCACAAAATGTATATGGATTTTTTTCAAGCTTAGAACACAAAAAGTAGTTTGAAAATTGCTAACCCTACCACTATGTAAAGGAAACTTGCCAACCAACCAGAGTTTAATATTTGTTCTATCTTTCCAATTGACATATAGCAAAATGCATCATTTAAGTGTACAATTTGATGAGATTTTAAAATGAATACACTTGTGTAACACCCACCCTTTTCAAGACAAAATATTTTCATCACCTGGAAAGTAATCTTACACTTCTTCCCAGTCAATCACCTTTGCTAGTTGCAGAAGCAACTACTCTTCAATGTCTGTATGGTAGTTACATATAGATTTACAGTTTGGATCACATCTATTGATCAATGATAAAATTATCCATAAAGAGGCCTCTTGCCAATCTTCCATGCTTTTCTCATTTAATTTTAATATTTTAATTAAATTTTAATTTTTTATGTATCAACTGATGCTGATATGGCTTGATATACCTGAATGTAATATGTGAGCACTGGTCATGTTCAATCTTTCCAGCTCCTGGGTTACATTCTGTTTCTCATATATTCATTCAGTCAAATGATATTTATTGAGCACTTATCATGTGCCAAGCATTGTTCTACGTTTTGGAGATAATAGTGCTCTGCAGACCTACGAAGTCCTTGCCCTTATAATGCTTATACAATGGGCTGGGGCAGCAAAAAAGGAACCTCAAGAAGCCAGGCTGTTGACCAGGAAGTGCTTGGCCAACCGGCGAAACAGACTGGAGAGGCAGGCAGCTAGGTCCCAGGCCCTGGGGAGGACTCAGTGGGCCTTGGGGAATGGGATGAGGCCACCCAGAAGGCTGAAAAGTGATGCTATCTAATCAGGCTGCTGTGTGGAGGTGAGACTACTGGGAGGAGCAAGAGTAAATTCAGGGAGAAAAATCAGGAAGAAACAACGGAGACCCTGGGGTTGTGCCTGAGGAAGCCACACAAATGTTTGGATCTCACTAGTAAGTTCAGAGGGTTCAAGTCACTGGAATTTACTAATGAGCACTCCTTTTTAGGAATTGTATATGTTTTGTCTGGCTGGTATGGCTCAGTGGTTGAGGGTAAACCCAGGCACCAAGAGGTCAACAGGTTCGATTCCCGGTTGGGACACATGCCTAAGTTGTGGGCCCAATCCCCAGTGGGGGGCATGCAGGAGGTGGCCAGTCAATGTTCTCCCTCATCGGTGTTTCTATCTCTCTCTCCCTCTTTCTTCCTCTCTCTCTAAAAATCAAAAAGACAAAAATAAAAAAAGAATTACATATGTTTTATCAGCATTTAATTTCTATATTCAATATTTACAAGAAAATTCTAATTGCTAAACCATGTCATATACTTTGCATCCAATATTTATTTATAGATATTATATTTTGCATTATAATTAAATTTTATATAACTAGTTAATTAATATTTATATTATAAATAATGTCAACTATATTAATGGTATAACATGTAAATAATAACTTTTAAAATGTGCTCAAAGGGTATATGAGTTCATTGTGTAGTATTCTGAAGTTAATAATAGCAGTACATGTAATTATAAAAAATGACAGGATTGTCTTCTTAAATGCTTTCTACATATTTTGTCTCCAGAAATATGACAGAGAAATTCAGAGAAATACAACTAGTTTATTTTATGTAGATTTAAATTAATAATAAAATAACATAGTTCACAAAAAGAGTACCTAAACTCCCAAATTCTTATCTTCTGTAAGTACTGTACCCTACTGATAATTATACATATGAATATAAATAGCGTAAGAGAGCTTGTAGCTAACAAAAAGCTTAGTAATCACCATTTCCTCTTACTACTTTAAGGTTTCGAGTAGAATACCAATGTATAAACTATGAACTGTGAAGATCAAACATATATGCTTCAAGCTGCTGGTCTAATTAAACACAGTCGACAGCAACATTAATCTGACACGTTCTTAGTGACTTCCAAAATTGTTATTGTGCTACATAGAACATAGCCTATTTTCCATGTTTTTATTTCTCCTGCATGTGTAAGTAGCACTAAGGGAAGGAACTATCGCTCTAACGTGCATCATTTGCATTTCTCTCTCCAACTGTTCCACAAATCTTCCTGCGTCAATGTAATTAACTTACCACCCCCAACAAGTTCAACAGCACGTTAAACTAAGCATTTGCAACTATTAAGAATTAAATGACTAGCTCTGCGATGATAATTGAAGTCACTGAATTTTTACTTCATTGCGAATATGGCTTAATTGGCTTAATTCCAGCTGCTCACTGGTAATTTTTTGGAGTGAAAATGTTGCAGACCAATAGTACATTTAAAAGTCTTTGCACACTTGCACTTAAAATATACTATTCAATTCACTCTGTCCTATAACACAAATGCTATTCTTTAGCAATACTTTATTGATGGCCAACATATATATGGAAAATGATTCAAAACCATTGTAGATGGAAATTACTTGTTTATGTTAGATAATAAGCATCATAAGAGAGTTGAGTGCTTACCTTAAGTCTGTGTGAAATGACACCCTAATGGGAGGATGCTCCGGAACCTCCTTCCATTACTACCGTAGCTGCTGTGGTTGTCTGCAGAAACCTGCAAAGATGCCATTTCTGCAGGGGATCACCCTCTAGAGTAGTGGTTCTCAAGCCTGGTGGTACATTAGCACACATTTGGATATTTTACTTTTAAACTAGTTTAAAATTAAAATCCCAGACTCATTAAATCAAAGGCAGAGAAGGGGGGGAGAGTGTGTATCAGGGCTATTTTAGGTGATTCCAATATGAAACAAAAGTTGAGAAGCACAATCTAGAACTAGAGATCAAGAGAAGATTTAGGAGAAGCGACAGAGAGAGATGAACAGTAATTAAGGTTTCCTCTGTGATCTGTGAGGAAAAATAAAAATTAAAGGAATATTTTTAAAGAAGAATTCTTCGGAGAAAAATCCAGGACATTTTAGGATGGGAGCACATGGCTCTGACATATCTTTAACGAAGATCTCTAGAAAATAACTGTGGTGGATGGAAAGTTTCTTATACCCCTTTATTGTAATCTTCAGGAGAAATTTAGAACCATCGAAGTGGAAAGCAGTCCTAGGCCTGCATGCGACATCGAATCTGACTTCTCCTCAAGTAGTAACCCGGCTGGTAGATCAAATCGTCATAAACCCACATTACAACAAACGGAGCAAGGACAGTGACATTGCCATGCTGCACCTTGAATTTAAAGTGAATTACACAGGTAAAAGAAATCACCTGTAGTCCCCTCCCCTGCCCAAATTAATTCAAAACCAGATTTGCAATACTATCAGCACCAATGCATGAATAGTCCATAAAAGTTGAGTAATCTGTTATAAAAATTATAATTTGAATGGAATTGGAGAATGAAAGAGAAACATATTAAATTACCTTCTGGAGCTATCTGAACCCAACTTGCTAGAGAATTGACCAGTAGAATAAAATTCTCAGAGCCCTCTATAAGCTCAGAGGAGCAGCCCAGAAAAAAGTAGTCCATGTTATAATGCCTGCCTTCTCTGTCTCTCACGTAAGAGGAGGGTGGTCTATCTGTCACAAAGGTCAAAGAAGGACAAACTGAGAGGAGAGCTTATGCTCTAAAAGTGAAGTAAGAATTGTTATCCATAGAATAAAAATTTTTTTTTAATTTTTTCCCCTTTACTGATTTTTAGAAAGACAGGAAGAGAGAGTGAGAGAGAGAGAGAAACATTGATGAGAGAGAACATCGATTGGCCGCCTCCTGCGTGCCCCCCACTGGGGATCGGGCCCACAACCTGGGCATGTGTCCTGACCAGGCATTGAACCAGCGACCTCTTGGTGCTTGGGTCGACGCTCAATCACTGAGCCACATCAGCTGGGCTCTAGAATAAAAATTTTAAAGGATATTCAATAATATTAATAAAGTGGCAGATGGAGCACTTCCTCCGAATAGCTAGATCATGTGCAAGGAGAGACCTGGGGAGTGAACTTTATCCTGAAGAACTCTGCTCAACTTCAGACTTTATTCTGAAGACCCTTCCAGTCCCGTTAGGGGAAAGTGCTGCATCTCCTTGCTCTTAGGGAACTTGGCCTTCACGTGTGTCACAGCATTTATCAAAGGCAGACGATTACTGTGGTGAGTTCTATACAGCCCCGTCCTTGTCCTTGATGGTTAGCACTGCATCGTATTCATTTTTGTCTGGCCTGGGACTTCCGGTGTAGTGGGCTCTTGAATAAATGTCAGATGCTTGTAAACGGTTGGAGAAGGGCCTTAGAGGTCAGTGACCAGTGCTACTGCTACCATAGGTGCCCAGTAAAACAACCACCGAAAGGCTTTTTTAATGTGAGATCCATGGAAAAATAAAGATAAAAATAAATACCTCAGAACATGTGCCCAACTTTCTTTTAATTGACCCTGAAAAACAGCCTTACCAAGATTTTCACAGAATTGGCACCCATTTCTATTAAGTACCATAATTATTTAAAAATCAAATAGAAATGATTAACTCTAGAACTATGACATTATTTACATTACGAAAGAGTAATTAGGAGACAACGGAGAGGATCCTACAAGGCCACCAATGGTACCTGATCCATTGTCAAAAATGTACTGCTCCAACATACTTCGTTCCCCCAAAATCGAGGTCTAAAAAATGTCTCGGCTGTATAAAATGGAAGTACAAATTGTTTCTGATGAAATGTTAAAAATGGTTGATTTTTAAAACTTGTTGGAAATGCATGTGCATCTATTCTAGTTTTTGTTTTCTTTTGCTTTCAGATTATATACAACCTATTTGCTTACCAGAAGAAAATCAAGTTTTTCCTCCAGGGAGAATTTGTTCTATTGCTGGCTGGGGGAAGCTTTTTCATCAAGGTAAATGATCAGACCCATAAAAAAGAAAATGTTTACTAGAAAAAAGTATGCTCTTGCACTATAATGTGACTATTTTGCAACTCTTACGCTATAACAATTTTCGGCAATATCACTTAAAAACCCTGTCAAGCTTATAGTCATATATTGTATATTTATATAGTTAAAATTTTTTTCTAAATCATATAGACCATATTATAAAACTATAATCCTTATTGGCGGGGCATTCAAACATCCCCCAAACTCAATATCTAATTGTATTATAAACACTGATAAAGAGAAAAGACACATCTATTAAAATGAATATAACCAAAGTTTTCAAAAATATATTTTTGTGAAGCTCATGGATAAAATTTCATCAAAAGCCAAATTATTAGCTGTCACATTTCCCAAATCAATAAAACTACTTTTATTTATCATCTAAAGGTCTCACAGTCATGTTTTCTAAAATGAAAAAAAAAAAAAAAAAAAATTCCTTCCAGCTTCTAATGCTGATCCTGCCTACTGACAGATATAGTGCAAACTTTACATTGAATACCATAAATTGATATCCCATTGACTCCCTAGAATTATTTAATAGCATTTTTTCCAAACACAGAAAAGATGCATATTATTAATAACCAAACATGGTCTTTAAAAGCATTCCAATACTTCATGCTCTCAAAATTTAACTGCAAGTCTCAGTGCTGTCTGAATTCCTCATAGGAGTTACTCCGTCTAGGACGAGTTTGCTTGTTAATAGTTAAGCAAGAAGGAAAAGCACTCCAGTCTGGTGGGAGGACCTGGCCCCTGGAGTCACAACAGAGCATAGATCATAGTCACAATGTCTACAAATCTAATTGTATTAACATGTATTTAGCACAGCCAGTGTGACTCAGTGGTTGAGCATCAACCCATGCACCAAGAAGTCACCTGTTCAATTCCCAGTCAGGGCACATGCCCAGGTTGTGGGCGAGATCCCCAGTGGGGGGTATGTAGGAGGCGGCCAATCAATGTTCTCTCTCATCCATGTTTCTGTATCTCTTACCCTCTCCCTTCCTCTCTCTCTAAAATCAATAAAGAAAAATAAAAGATATATTTAAATTTTGTGGAGAGGTGCAGGTCCCAGAAACAAAGCAGTCATAGGCAAAATATCCTGTCTTCTTGTGAAAGAAATCATCAAGTCCAAGTCAGAACCCCGCCTGATGATTCCGACAAAGGTTCTCCGCTGCAATTGCATTACGTTGCCGGAAACGCCTCGTGTCTACTGCCCATGAAATGTATTGAAGTCAAAGACTGTATATTCTTTTATTTCCTCCACTTGAAAAATGTCACGATTTATTAAATTTGAAATCTAAAGAGCAAAATGATTCCTAGATAGACATTTTCTCTATCAGTTTTCAAACTAGAAGACATTTATGACCACAGTGTAGACTCTTCAAAACAAATTATCCAATAATGAATAAATTTAAGACTCTCTGTTCCATAGGAAATGGGTATTTTTTTTCAGAGCTGATACTTATTGTTACTAAAGATATGCATTTAACTGACTTAAGAAAGGTCTCTAAGAGTGGTATGGAGCCAAGAAAAAGTCTGTATCTGAAGTCGATTTCATTTAGAAACAGTCAGATCATGTTTAAATATTTCCTGGGTGATATAAATTTGAATTAATTTTTAAAACTCTTATCTATGGTTTCCAGCTTGTTCATTTCATAAAATCTTAGTATCCTCCTTTTGAGTATTTGACACTGAGTAATTTTGCTAGAAAAACTATGAACATAGTGTTTACCAAGAAGAAATAAAGTGCTATTAGTTGATTAAATTGAGGCAATTAGTAAACTCGAAATAAATGTACTGACTTTTATTTGTGTGTGACTATATATGCTCAATTATTCTTATGGCAATTCAGATTGACAAATAAATATCAACTCCTGGATATTTGTTCACATTTTTCTTTACCAAAGAGTTTTATCATGTACCCAACCAATTTTTATTCCTTGTCAGGCAGAAAAGTTGACTTTGATTTTATTATAGAACAAAAGTCTCCCAGACCATCCTTGATCTTCATAGAATGGATGGCAGTGAGATGCTGAACTTCCTTCTGCCTCTTAACCTCTCCAGTTCACTTTTTAACTTAAAGTTCACTGTTAAACTTGAAAACTCACCCAGTGGTGTGCTGATGGAGTCATTGCACCAGCTGGAAACAGTCATTAATCCACATCTCCCAAGTTCAGGTTCATTGTCATGCTGGTACTTGAAACTGGCCATAGTTGGAGTGTTTATGCCAGGCAAATTGGCAGGCAATACACACCGGGGCTTTTTTTCTTTGATAACTAGTTGTTAAACATTTACCAACACACCACTGAGTATATATATATATATTGCTTTGCACTTAAATTACACACCCACCCACATACGCACACACAATTTATTTCCTGTCCTTTTGGCTGGAAATGAGGTCACGTACATTTTTGCAATAACATGGGCCGTCAATGTGCTATCCTATCCTCAACTTTCTGCCTCTCTTGAGGAGCCAAATAGAATTGCTAATTATTATAAAGTGCTTATCACGGACCTTTTCTGGGCCACTAGACACCTGCTTGCTTCATTTTTCTCCTGAGATTAGTATTTCACTAAACAGAGGTTCACGTTTCCAGTAGATGAGTCATTTTGTAAAAACATAGAAGTACACTCTGCTGCAAAACTCCTCCTTTCTCTTCACCTGCACGTGGATGACAAGCTGAATGCCCCGAGATCGGGGCACAGTTCATCCGAGCTTTCTCCTCTGTTCAGTGAGCACCTGCTCAGTCACACAGCGTCACACAGAGCTGAATGCCATCATAAGGGAGCACTTCTTCAGGTGACAAATAAAAAGCACTTCTGGATTTCGGAGCTATTGCTAATTTCCATGAATGAAACTCTTTTGTGCGGGTGGGTTCTCCCACTGCCCCCCTCCCATGAGCAATACGGTGACTTTGAAATGACTGAACATGTCTAAAGACTGCCCACTACTTCTGATAACCCTTGGGAACTAAAGAAGTGCTTTACATCCATTTGGCAAAATGCACAGATGGGCTTTATTGTGCGCTTTAAAGTACAGGGTTTAGCGTTCGGTTCCATTATATATACACACAGAGCTACATAATGAGGGTGAACTGTTGAAATAAATAAGACTGATGGTGGCTCATCCATGACTGGCTGCCTGCATTATCCATTTTGAACAGGTCCTACCGCAAACATATTGCAAGAAGCTGATGTTCCTCTTATATCAAATGAGAAATGCCAACAACAGATGCCAGAATATAGCATTACAGAAAATATGGTGTGTGCAGGCTACCAAGAAGGAGGAATAGATTCTTGTCAGGTAAATGTAACCGCTCACCCTGCATCTCCAGAAAGCATTGCTATATGATGGTTTTATTGTTTAGCAATGATGTGGAAGTAAAGAAATCATCAGGGTCTTAATTTCATGGCTTTCTTCCGCAGAACTGTGACTTTGGGCTTTTATTTGTGAACTATTTACACAGGACTTCTGGGTGGACCTGAACATTAGAAACAAAACAAATTTTTACCAACAAGGGTTATAAATCAGATGTCATTAGGGACTAGGCATCAGCCTCGAGTGTGGGAGACAGCCAGGTACAATACGCAGCTGTGGTCCTGGGGGAGCCGGAGAGTGTACACCTTAGCTAAAAGCATTGATTTTCAAATTTTCTAAAAGTTCTTTAAAACCTGATGCAGACTTAAAACAAACAAAAAAATAGGTCTCGGGGCCAATTTGGCTTGTCAGCCTGCCTCTAATATTCAACCCTGACTTAGAGCATGGTCAAGATGTCTAGTGACCCGAAAGAATTTCTGGGTGAAAACCAAGCTGGATAGCCTGGTTAGAGCCGATTGACAGCTAACTACTTGCAGGAAGGGAAAGAAACTTACTCAACAGCCTGGCCTAACCCTGGCTCTGGAGCGTCTATGCCGGCATTTCCATATCACTTCTTACATTTCCTTTCAGAGATGCAATCACGTGAACTCCGTGTCTGTCAGTACTGCAGTGTATTTGAAGTACCAGTAGCTTTGAAATCGGGTAACCTTCAGAGAAAACTCTCATCCACAAACTCCTTCAAAGAAGACAAAAATGTCTTATCAAGTAGAAATAATGTAGCCAACTATTAGCTGCATGGAATTCACATAAACTCAACAAATAAAAAGTAAATTCTGCTATATTTTATCATTATCATTAATTTTTAGATACAGCATGGAGTAATCATGAAAAGCATGGATTCTGTGCTCAAACTATTCTTTTTTTTTTTTTTTTTATCTTCAGATAGAGCAGGAGGGAGAGAGGGCAGAAGGGAGAGAAACATTGATGTGACGGAGACACATCAACTGGTTGCCACCCACACTACCCCAACCGGGTCCGGGGACAAACTGCAACCAAAGTACATGTCCTTAGCGGGAACCGAACCCGGGACTCTCTGGTCCATGGGCCGACACTCTAACTGCTGAGCCAAACTGGCCAGAGCCAAACTACTCTTATTCCACTCTTATTTGACCCTTATTGGCCAAGACTTTGGGCAAGTTACTTAGATTTTATTGAGATATATAAATGAGATAACACATGTAGGGCACTGAGTCAGCACTCAAAAAATATTAACTCTAGTACTTTGTAAATACATTTTTGGCATATTTTCTGTCTTTGAGAATTAATAAAATATTAGTGCATTAACACTACTGGATTAGACCACACTTGATAGCAGTACTGAGCAAACAATAGTTCAAAAATGCAGAAGTAACCATTTATACTGTAGGTTTCACTTTTTAAGTGTGAACAATATATTATATATATTAACACATAATGTCATAATAATTTGATAATAACCAGACTTTTTAACAACACTTAAGCAGATGATCCTGCGTATATATCCTCCAGTTAAATCAACGTCTCAAGTCCTGTAAACTAAACCTCCAGCTTAGTTCCACATTTATTCTGCTTTGATGAACACTGGCAAATTCAAGACAAATAGGATAGCTTTCTCCGTGTTCAAAATTTATCTCTGGCTCTTATGCTTTCTTTTTAAAATGAAAAGTGTGCTAAAGGTAAGATATATTGCCACTTAGCGGGGAAATGTATAGAATTATTGTTCAGGAGGGAAATCAGCCATACAACTGCAATTACAATTAATGGGGGTTGTGGCAGACACTTCATGCTTGAGGTAGAAAATATGACTGCTGATGCTATAGATGTTAGACTTACATTAAGCCAGTAACACAAGCCAGATCTCTGAAACCTTGTATCTGGCTCTGATTTCTAGAGCCTAAACATGTTACTCATTAGCAAGCAGGAAAGCTCCCACACAAAGCAGTGCCTTGAATAACATCATGTTTTCATGATCGAGGACTCCAGAGTCTAGAGTCACATGATGTTCTTTGTTCAACTTAATGCCAGGTTATGCGAGAGGGTTGACTGATTAAATAGGAATACATTATTGTAAATTATGAACATGTTATTATTGACACATCACTTGACTGAGTTCTTTCCAGCATCCTTTTCCCCCCTATAGTGTGAAGGATGTTGCCTTATTAGTCATTCATACATGCTTGGATATCCTCTGGTTCACCCAAGGCTTGCGTGGGAGAGGCAGTTGTCTGGACTTAAAGGCACCGTGAGTGGCTATAGAATGTCCTCTCTACGTAAAACTGAGTGAATGACACAAACTTGCTTTGCTCACCATTCAGAGCCTTGTTCTAAGGCCACAGTTGGCCTCCCACCCAGCAGGGCAGCTCATTACAGGAGAAGGTGCTATAGATGCCAATTCTCAGGCTGCAGCACCCACCTGCTGACTCAGAAACGCTAAAGGTGGGCGCAGAGCTGTGTGTTTTCCCCGTGTTATCAGATAGATGATTCTGATGCACCTTAAAGTTTAAGAAGGACGGATCTAAATGAAAAGGGTCACCAACCTTCACACTCAGGTCGTCGAAGAAGAGAATGATTTTGATTTTCTTTGCAAATATTGTAGGCTAATAATTTATGTTCTGGACATTCACTCATATATTTTCAAAGTACTTACACATCTCTGAGATAGTGGGAGAACACATCAGGAAATTAAGACCGGAGGAGAGCGTGTAACTGAACCGAAATGGAGAATTAGGAGATGGGAGGTTAAAGAATTAGCTGTAGGTCTCTCAGCCAGACAGACCACCCAGCTGTTGGGCACCGAGCCTGTTGGGGCACCCTTTGAATAACTGCAGCTGACCCACTATGAAATGAGCAATTTAAAATCTTGTTCATGTAATCAGTATCTGGTTTATGCTGTCTATTTAGAAAATTAATGATTTTAGAAAACATGGAGAAAACCCAATGACTCTTTTTGAAAAAATATATCAAAAGAGTTGAGGTTTATTTTTAATAATTTCTAAGTCACATTTTTAAGTCTGCATTTATTCCTGCCTTGGATTGATAGTGTTCCATAAATATTTCTGAACCCATATTATGGACAAAGGGCTTAGGATGGAGAGATAGCCCTGTCTTCAAACAGTGTGAACACATTTGTTACACCTAGAATAGAGGTTACCTATGTTTGCCAGTGCCATTTGGGATCCTCTGCATCCAAGAGAGAAAAGGTACTTTTTAAATATATATATGTTTTTATTGATTTTTAGGGAGAGAGTGATAGAAACATCAATGTGAGAGAAACATCAATTGGTTGCCTCCTGCATGCCCCCTACTGGAGATTGAACCCAAAACCTGGGCATGTGCCTTGACCAGGAATCGAACCAGGACCTCTCAGACCATGGGATGATGCTCAGTCCACTGAGCCACACCAGCCAGGCAGAAGAGGTGCTTTTATAGACCACATTTTCCCCTCTTAAATATAGGTCCCAAAGATCGTAAAGAATCAGGCAAAAGATTCTCAGGATATTTCTAACAGCAGGCCTGGGTTGAAATAATCTATTGCCTCAGTGATTTCAAACAAAATAAACAAGGCTTTCAATTCCTTCATAAATATATAAAAAGGCAGATTAATAAGTTTTTACACAATTAACATGAAAAAACACTTGTGAATTTTTTCGTTCATCAATGGTACTATATGTTTGCATTATGTTCATTGGCATTATACATATGCAAATAAAATCTGTGTAGTTAACTCTATTAGCATCTGCTATAATCAACATTCATGAAAATTAAAAACATTTTATCAATTGAAATCTCAGAAGAAAACATGTACCTATCAGTAGAAATTGTATCATAGATTTGCCTCTTTCAGTTGAAACATTAGGTTTTCTTCAAATTTGACAGTGTTTGTCTAATGCCGAAAACTTAATGCTAGCCAAGAGAACAAAAATCAACTTTATGTGTGAGTTTTTCATTTTCTAAAGCACATAATATGGAATAATTTTCTTTTCCACAGATCCTTTCATAATGCTTAGAACATAACTCCTTTAATTTAAAAATCAGCTTTTAATAAGTATTTTGGTTGACATGATTCTCAGAGTTGTATCTTAGAGAATTTCTTAGTACCCATTTAAATGCCATAATTAAAGTAAGAAAACTCTTGCTACAAATGTGCATTATAAAAACAATTAAGTATAAGTGATGTTTAAGTTGTCGTAGTTTCTCTGTGTTCTTACTGAGCAGCAAAAGGTTCCCATTCTTGACCTAGAGCAATGGTGAGAATATTTGTATATAGGTGACTTGCAAATGAAATCATATTTCTCTAAATTATTTCTAAATTGACTTGTTAAAAACAATCTTATATATTTATATCAATTGACCACGCACTTACAATTTTCTTTTGTAATTTACTACGTAGGGGGATTCGGGAGGACCATTAATGTGCCAAGAAAACAACAGGTGGTTCCTAGCTGGTGTGACATCATTTGGATACAAGTGTGCACAGCCAAACCGGCCAGGGGTGTATGCCCGGGGCTCGAGGTTCACGGAATGGATACAAAGTTTTCTCCATTAGAGTGTTTTCTAAACCAAACAAAAAACCAGGCAGTTTTCCCATTCTCCTCTGAAAAGGGTGGAAATTGAGAATTTTGTAGAAAATGGCTTCTAATGCCACTGAAATGCTGGGAGACAGGGGTGGGAGAAACAAACGAAAAAGGTAAATTAATCTTTACAATACTAAGTAACTTTAAAAGGATACATTTTGGGTTTTTTTGAAGAGCTATTCTTTTACAGATATAATTTCCTTTGTTCTTAATTTTTATCTTTACCATATTCTCTTATTTAAAGGAATGTTACTTTAAATCATATACACTTTAGACATCTTAAGCAAAATTAGTAAAAGAAGTGAAATAAACTGTTTTTGCACAAGATCTGTTATTGGTTGAAATAAACTGCTGGAAAGTATCTAGTTCCGGCTTAAACTGCTATTATCAGAAGCTCAAAGTCTTCCTGCTTTTCTATCGGATGCATTTCCAATTCATCTTGAGCACATCTCTAACGGTCCCCCTACTCATAAAAAGAATGAATTGTAAACTTGTGTCACAGACCTGGACTAAGCTGACTGTGTGTTTAATTGCAAATAAGCTAATTAAACAGCAAACGGGAGTCTACAGAGTGCTCTTGCATCAAAATAAAAGGTACATTTACTGATATTGTAGCTCTTTTTTCGGATCCTTTATTACCTGGATTATTCATACTGTCCATTTATTTCAAGCTGTTATTTTTTTTTATTTTCAAAAAATGATTATATATATTTAAGAAATGCAACTATTAAAAATGTCTTCTTTCCAATTTGTGTGTGTTAACAGTGGATGTTTCTAACATGTGCAACACTTATTTAAACACAGCTGAATTGCCCATTAGGAGGCCAAAAATGTGGAATAAATGCATTTGTTTCACTGCTTTAATCTCTTGGATCACTTCCAGAGTAAGTGCAAACTTCAGTTTCGCATACCACACAAAATATATTGACCTATTTGGGAAGACAGACTTTATAACTACTTTATGCATGCGCGTGCATGCACACACCTTCTTGCACGGGTCTGTATGGCCCAGAGTAGCAGTAAGGTTCAAAGGGATGGGAAGGCGAGACCAACCGGCATAGATTGTCCTTGTGGGAGACGTGAAACTTGGGCGACACCTGGAGGGATGATCTTACTGATGCACGGAAGAGGCGCTGGCAGCCGCCTGGTGAGCGGCTATGAGTTTATCCTTAAGACAACAATCAGGAGTCCCTAAACACACTATTCTTTTTTTTTTTTTAATTAAATCTATTGGGGTGACTTTGGTTAATGGGATCGTATACGTTTCAGGTGTGGATTTCCATGTTACAAGATCTGTATATTGCACTGTGTACCCACCACCCACAGTCAAACCATCTTCCGTCCCCATACATGAGGCCCCCTGCCCGCCCCACCCCCTTCCCTCTGGGAACCACCGCACTGCTGCTCACGCTCATGAGTTTCAGTATTGTATCCCCCACACTCTATTCCTCTTAAGACCTTTCCAATGACCTGCTCCTGACAGTTAGGAAGGATGAAATAGCAGGGATAGGGTGTGCTGGTTGATTTTACTCCCTGAATATTATTTCAGAATTCACCCACATTTCAAAACACACATGGAGAACTATGCTCCGAAAAGACAAACACTCACGACAGATACACACGCTGGGTAGTCCTTTTTATTTTTCAAAGATCAGCCACAATGTTAGCAAACCCTTAGGACAGTCTCACAGCCGCCTTCTAAAGAGGGAAGTTCACTGCCCCACTCCTAGTAACTTGCGAGTTTAGTAATTAGAGCCAGAGGAGTTAGCCAGGCCTGGGCCGAGATGAAAGGCCACACAAGGCCCTGCTCCAGCTCGGCCTGTCCTGCGTGCAGCTGCTGTGGTCAGAGGCAGGCTGAGCCGGGAACGCCCGGTCTCCTCGCGTGGGTCCTGACCAGAGGAAGACACGCACGCTGGGAGCTCGGGGGAAGACGTGCATCCCAGCAGCTGGCCTCCCATGCTGCACAGAAAGATGGGGAGCACGAAATGGGGGCAGATCTAAGCTGAGGATGCAGCTGCCCGTCCCCTCCGTCTCTAAGCGGCTGAAGAGGAGCCAATGCCCACTAATTTCTATTTAGCCTTTCAGTTTTGCCAACCAACTCTATTGTGAGTTGCCTTCAGGAGAGCTCTTTATTAGCTCATTGCAAAGGACTGGCAGGAAAAAGATGAGGTTGAAAATGCTTTATGCCTACAACGTTCGTTCCCACCCCCCTTCCAGTCATTTTCATCTCCGTGTGTTGATGCGAACATATCTGTATTTGGTTCACTCGAGAGAGTCAGACGACACGAATGATCCTTCTTCAGAAACAAGAACGTTTTATTTGGTTAAAAGAGCACAGGGACATGTGAAGACCGAATGGTCACAACTGTCTTGAGAAGAAGGAGCCACAAGCACTGAAGAAAACAGGTGACAAGACAGAGGAGCCCCAGTTTACTCTCCAGCCAAACCCTCAACAATGACCACGGAATCGCCAATGCCCTCCAGCCATTTCCCACCCTAACTCCTCATTTCTTTCCTCGCTAACATGTAGGTGCTGCGCTTACCTCCACACCCAAGTGACTGCTCACCTGTCCCAGCTGTGAAACCCCTTTATATGCCCACAGAGGCGAAACAGAGCTAGAAAAAAACCTTAGACAAACGATGCAGTTATCTGCCTCCAGTTTCTTCCCAACCCCCAAACAACCCTCTTTGTTTTGTGGTCAAGGGAGGGACCAAATGGACCCCGGAACCCTCAGAGAGCTACTGTGGTTATATAGGCAACGTGTGAAGACATATGATTTATATTGTGTATGCCACTACTTTTGTTCTAGATTGAGTATATTATTTATACAGTTATTAACAAAGTCATTACAAAATCTGTTGAATTTTAAACTAAAAATAATTGTAAGGCACATGTCTTGCACAATTGAAATTAGACAATTCTTGCCTCTAAGTAAAATATTTGAGTGGATTTATACCACAGTGAATGAAATAGCTTCTTACTTCCGAAGACATTTCCTACGCATTGTCTGATCCAAAGCAGAGAAACTGGAAGATGCATCATTTCTAGAAAGGAAACTTCTTTCTATGACAATATATTGATGTGTTTGTGAATTCAGTTGACCACAGTGATACATTTCTTTAATCAAAACAGCATGTGTTGAATGAAAACACCATAAAAATAAATATTAGAACCGGCCATTTTTATCAAACACCGACATAAAGGGAAAATATTTTTGCACACCATAAACTTCAATACAATTTACATTACGTTAACTAGATTACAACCTATGAAAGGTAAAAGAAGCGAAAACAGCTGCCCCCGACACACATACTTCCGACGTGTTGCTAGCAAGTCTGTCCGCACGGTCCGTTCCATTTACTTGAAGTTCGGGTGCATCCTTTAGCACAATAAGCATGTCTCACTCCATTGTTAGCACAGCATATTTTGTAAATGAAATAAACATAGAAAACTCATTTCAATATTTGCCTCAAGAGGGAGCTTACAGTTCATCCTACAGATCCTCTGAGATTTCAAGCCATTCCAAGCTAAGCTTCTGCTGCCATTCTTTATACAAAACCCTGTTTTCTTTTCTGGAGCCGGTCGATGAGTTTTTATACTTCCATGCCACTTTCTTTTCGCGTGCTTTTGGAAATCCACAGTGTGGACTGGTTCGGGCTAGTTTTTGTTCTTCCTTTACTGAAAAACATAAGAAGAAAAGAGCTCAATGTATGAGACTTCCTGTCCCACCGGGCATGTCTTGGTCCAAGCGGAGGGACGTAACTCAGAGCCTTATTACAAAAGGGTCCTTCTCTCACCAGCCTATTTTTTCATTCCTACGAAGAACTCTAGGTTATTCCAGTATGTGAATATGGTAAGCAGTTCATATGAAATAATGAAAAAATAAAATAAAATAGATGGTTCTCTGTTGGATCCTTCATAGTTCGGAATTCAGATACACACACACGCACAGATGTGTCTGACACAATGCCAACATTTTCATTGTTATCACCAGTAAGACTTCAGTCTATGCTTTTTGAAATATTGCTTTTTGAATACTCCTCCACTAGCATATGCTGTATGGAATACTAAATAATCAAAATAGAGCTTTTCTCCTAAGTATAAGGACCTTCCTATTCCCCTCCTCCCATCGGTTTTTCAGTCCTACAATTAAGTCACCTAATCCCTGGAAGTCTTGCTTCAGTCTCTGAAAACAGTGGAGATTCAGGTGCTGTGATTTATGGGTGTCTGAGTTTCCCCAGATCTGAGACTGAACGTCACTCTGCTCAGATGGAGAGTCCGGGTCCACATTTCCAGCCTGCACCTGGGGCAGTGCTGTCTTCAACTCTCCATAAATCGACCACTTCTGGGGCTCCGGGAAAAGGGTCTGTTCCTGAGTGTACCCGTCCTCCTCCACCAGACTACTGATGGAGCTCGATTCCTTTGGTGTAGTTTCCTGATCACGAACCCTCACCTGCATCACTAACCACTTCCTGTCCTGTGCATGTGTTGTGCACGCCCTTCCTCCCATAGATTCCCCGCCGATAGCACCTCTGCAGTCCCCGCACCTTTCACTCTGTCTACCCGACCTTGCGGAACCCCTTCAAAGAATAAAAGAAAAGCCCCGGCCGGGTGTGGCTCAGTGGGTTGAGTGTAGTCCACGGACTGAGAGGTCCTAGTTGGGTTCCCAGTTGGTACACCTGCTCAGGTTTCAGGCTCGATCCCTAGTAGGGGGCATGATGTAGGAGGCAGCAGATCAATATTTCTTTCATGGATATTTCTCTCTCTCTCTCTCTCTCTCTCTCTCTCTCTCTCTCTCTCTCTCTCTCAAAAATCAATAAAAACAAAGAATAAAATAAAAAAAACCTCCTCCTAAACAAACTTCAGCAATATACTTTTATACTACTACTTAATTGACTTCCATTTAACTGTGAATGTGTTACTAATAAGATAATATGTTCCCTTTATATGTTTCGGAGATTTGCATCCAAGTAAAATCAACACATCTTTAGCTATGAAGTCATCTAACATGAAAGGAAAATAAATCAAGCAAAGTTTATGAAAAACATGAAAATGTTTAATGATGAAAAAGGTGATTAAGTTATTAATGTAGTTTTTGCGTAGCATTAGTATTGCATTGAAGAGTTACTAGCAGTTAAGGAAACAAGAGTTATTATTTTGAACATGACATGGAATGATAGAAACCATCATGTGTACCAGATTGGAATTTAAACTTTCTGCAAGGCACTCAGCTGATAATGGAGTTGAGTCTTTGATGAAGTTTCTCCTTGCTTTCCTGGAAGAAAGGAAAAGGGGAGGATCTAAGAACGAATAAATTATGCACTAAAGCTAATTCCGGCATCTAGAGGTACTCTATTTTGGTTTATTTTCTCACTCTGAGAATTTCAAACAATGAAAACGCCACAGATCTTCAAGATGGCGAAACCTGCAAGACTTTTGAGTGAACAGAATCCCTGCAATAACGCACAGTATTTGGAAGAAGGAAAACTCAAGTATTGACACTTAGAAATATTTCCCTTAGGAATTAGAATGTCTACATAATATTTTTCAGGCAATTTTTTAAAGATGACTTGTTATTTACAGTTCCTCTTTAAGAGTTTGGCTGGGTTATGGGGGATATGTATCAAACCCTCCCTCTATGTCATTGCTTTCTTAGGAATTAAAGGAACTAAATATTTACTATGGCCTTTATTCTGTACAAAATATTAGAAAGCAATTCCAACCGTGTTTCACATATACATTGGAAAGCCAAGAGGACACAAAATGTGGTAGTATTTTCCAAGTTTTATTTATTGTTATTATTCAAAATGTCTTACTTAAATAACCAGCAAATCACAGGTTGGATGCTTTTTAAATTTTATATGAACTTGAACATTTACATCTATTTTACTTTTTTCTTTGGGACATTTGTTACTTAGTGGATTCTTTATGGTTTATTTCAGGAAAAGAAGCAGAAGAATTAACATCAAAAGAGAAAAATAAAGTATTTGCAGGTCATTTATGGGGGCATTTGATGGGGGCATTCTCCTGATCAATTTTTATTGGAAACATTCTGACAAAGATGTCTAGTCCGGCGATTTTCACCCTTTTTTATCTCATGGCATCCATAGACTAATGACTGAGCACCAAAGCACAAGGGTATGACTTGAAAATTTGAAAAGATACTACAAAGTACACCTACAAGAATCAAGTGTTGCATTCAACTTGAGGTCCAGATTGAAAGACTTAGCATTGATGCTTATACTTAGTAAACGAGGAACAGTATAGTTGCATACGTTGTAAGCTTACAAGCATTCAGATTTCAGATTTAGCACATATGCTAGTTATGAGACCCAGGGCAAATCATGTAACCCTTCCAAGCCACCATCTTCTCGACTGAAAAATAGAAACTGAAGTGTACCTACTTCATATGGCTTGTAAGGACTGAATGCGATAATGCACGAATCCTGTGAAAAGGTGTATCTTATTAGATTGTGTATAGTGAATTGGTACAGACATACAAAAACCAGAACTTTCTTAAGGAAATTTAAAATACATCACTTTAGGCTAATTTAAAACATTTCAAGGTGTCTCTACATGTATGAATTATTTACCTTTTATGCAGCATCTGGAAACAGCAGGTCCCAAAAGCAACCAGAATCAATAAGAGCAGTGGAATTGTTGGTATAACAACATAAATTAGATTGGGAATTATGCCTACAAAAGTAAAACAGTCTTAGTGTACAAAAGATAGATGAGGCAGAATTCCCACATCAAAGGTATATAAACATTTTCCAATAGTTTAAGGTAAAATAAAATTATTATCAATAAATAGAGTCTAAGCAAAGTTCTTCTCTAAAAACGAAATAATCTGATGACATGATATATTCATGTTTACTAAAATTCAAAAACAAAATCACATTGCACTGCTTGACATGCTCCTGTTCAATGTCCATGTTTCCAAAAGTACCAGATACGGGCTAGTGTGCATATGTATTAATAACCTCAGCTACCTCACTTCCCTAATCCTTCTTAGTTCTGACTTGGAGAACCAAGCTCTGATAATTAAAGAATAATAATCATTATTAAAATAACTGTTGATTTATCGGACATGTAATCATCCTACCCAATAAACTCAGTGCCATGATGATATGCAGGACTCCCTTGGATTGATCCAAAATATGTAAATATGAACTGATCATACAGTTATAACCCAGAGACTCAAGACTCCAGAGGCATGAAGACTTGATCTTAATTAAATTCTAAAATGAATCATTTTTTAATCCTGTTCCATTACACTTGATCATGTTGGCTATTCTTGGTAAAATAAAACACTAAAGTCTCAGACAGCATAAAATGTCTTTATTAAATATTTTTTCAATGTCATAGGGGAAAAATATTCCTAATGAAATTATTTACTGATTATCTTTAATTAGGTTTGGATCTTCTGAATGGTTTAAAATCAAGCATCTAAAAAATAAAGAGCACTAAGTTTTAACATCACATCCATACAAGAAAAACAAATGAAAAACTATGCATTTAGTTCATCAAAAGCAGACTTTATTATTAAACTAAATAATTCTGGCCAAAATGGACCAAACTTAGAGCAAACTATCAATTTAACTGCATAGCACTTCCATTATTAACATGAAAAGATGTATTAGCTGAGGTCTAGTGATGGGGTAATTTGATGATAATTTGCTATGTTTTCATCAACTTCTGAGCCTCCAGCAGGTGACTTCAAGATGTTTAAAAATTCATGAAATATTTTCTTTCCTTTTTAAAATACCATCACGATCCCTCATATATATTAATAAAGAAAAAGAGACAGTATTCCTTACTATTTTATGGATTTTGGATTGCCTGTGGAAAGATTTTTGAGATCTGGGGTCTTTGTCTCAATTCTCACAAAGCAGCTAAGATAAATCAACATTTCTACCCAACTGGCACAGGGTCATGCTAAAAAGATTTCTGACTAACGTGCAATTTGCATTGGGATGTCACTATTTCTTTGCAGACAGTGGTGTGTTAGAGGCACCTGGGTGGAGAGCTCCTTGTATACATTCTTCCCACGCTGCTCTTCAGTGACATCACTTTGGTAACTTGAAATCAGCCAGGGAGTATTTGCAGCACAGAAAACTGTGAAGCCTACAAATCAGGCCTTTTATTTTATACCCACCTCACCCTAGCCAGTCCTTAAACATTTACCAGCACACCACTGTTTGCAGGCCCTGCATGTGCAAATTTACATAGGAACGCCTACACATTGCTGGGGAGGTTCCTTGTAGATTCAGATTTTAGCAGGGATTACTTAGTTTAATACTATATACAATGGATCAGGAAAAAAACAAAATAGTTTCATTTATTTATTTATTTATTTATTTATTTTTATTTATTTATTTTTATCCTCACCTGAGGACATCCTTTGATATTTTGTTCAGATAGAGTGGGAGGGAGAGAGAGAGAGAAACATCGACGTGAAAGGGACACATTGAGTAGTTGCCACCCACACGATCCAACCAGGGCCAGGGACAAACTGCAAACGAGGTAAGTGCCCTTAGCGGGAACTGAACCCGGGTCTCTCCAGACCGCAGGCCAACTCTCTGACCGCTGAGCCAAACCGGCCAGGGCCAAAATAGTTTCTTGTATTTAAAAACTAGCTTAGGCCCAGTCAGTGTGGGTCAGTGGTTCAGCATTGACCCATAGCACCAAGAGGTCACCGGTTTGATTCCCGATCAGGGCACCTGCCCAGGTTGTGGGGCATGCAGGAGACAGCCAATCAAACTCTCTCATCAATGTTTCCATCTCTCTTTCCCTCTTCCTTCCTGTCTCTCTAAAATCAATAAAGAAATAAGGAATAAATAAAAACCAGCTTAGCATCATTTGTTCTAACTTAGTTCAAAAGTAAATTTCCATAGGCCCATATACAGTGTACCGCTTCACCAAGCAACAAGAAAAGTTGGGGCCAACTAGAAACAGAATTTAAATGTACAGTGTCTGTTCTTGCCAGAGGAGTTAAGTTAAAGACATAGGAATGAATTACCTGCTTCAGTAACAACCACATTTTGATGGGTGTCTCCTGGTTGGTTTGTAAAATACGTCTTTTCTCCGGGAGCTGTTGGATTCACCTCTGTAGATAATAAGTACAGATATCATAGGTAATGATAAATAAGAGAAATCCAAACATACATGAAAATAAGTTTATTATAAAACTATACAAACATTAGAGTTTTGACTTCTGAACAACTTACAGCTAAGAATTTTATTTTGAATTTAAATTTACATGAAATTATCTAACTAGAAAGTCCACATTTAATTATCTTTAAATCAAGCATCTACTTGGTGAATCCTTGCCACCCGTAACTACATTAGCAATCAACAGCATGTCTGGGCTAACACAGCCAGCTACAGGCAATGATGCCAAAGCAGGCACAAGCCGGGCAAAGACCAACAGGAACCAGTGACCATAGAATGTGAGCCACTGCCTGCAACTCAACGGCAAGCGAAGATGGTTCGGGTACTAATATCAGTGTGATACTTAGGTTTCTCCTCACTATAATAATCAGCAGAAGATTATATATGAATTGCATTTGGAATTGATGATTCAAATAATGGAAGAGAGAAATCAAATAATTTATATGCATATATGCACAACCAATCGGCATGGACACTAGGCTGGGGAAGGCAGGAGCGGGGTAGGAGGGAGAGGGAAGAAGAGAGTCATTGAGGAAAAAAGGGGGACATCTGTAATACTTTCAACAACAACAACAATAATAATAACATTCCAATCACATTTCTGCCCTATACCAATAATGCCATCCTTATATTTGCTTTCCAACAGGGTCTACCTCTTCAAAATGTACTAATAAACTAAGGCTTGTGAGTTGTTTCTTTTCCTGGTTTTATAAGATGAGATCTTCTCAACTGTCATGCCCTTAAAATAAGTTGAAATATCTTCCCATAACCTGGTACTGCTCTGTCACTTGGTGGGTTTTTTTTTCCAGGTCCTATTAGTTACATTAATATTTCAGTGAATGTAAATTAAATTAGTAAGAAAATGCCCTGTAATTTTGTTTTCATTTGTTCCAAAAATGTAATTTCCTGCTTATTGTTGTCAAGTGATGGAAAATAAAGAACATATACAGCGTCTTAACTTAGTTTCACAATAGCAAATCATTTTAATGTAATGTTCACTTCTCTAATTTGGCCATATAGTCTCTATTCAGTGGAATTTTAATCATATGCCATCTTATAATAATATTTATTGTTCTTGTATACATATTTCACCCTGACACTTTAATAGCCCTCTCTAGGTACAGTCTTACCCTACACTTATTCTTCTGCAGAACCTGGGCACTCTATGCCTATGCTCAACTGGTACTTGCTGAAGAAATAATACAGATATTATGTAATTTATCAACCTAGAATTGGTTATTTTAAACATAATTTTAAGTTAATGCAGCTGCTGACTAAGTAACAATGTTTTAGAAACATAATCTCATACATGCTATTTTTAATGTCTAAGAACAAGAGTATATAATGAACTTTTAATAAATGCAAAAATTAGATTCTAACATATCCCCATAAAAATGTGTTCGGGTAACATTGGTGGAGCTAAAGAACAGATATGCAACTCGCAGGACAATCACAAAAACGATGGCAAAGACAGCGAGCAAATTCAGAAGTAAATTTTTCATTTTCTGCTTAGCTAGGTTAATATTTTACCACTTTGGATATGATTAGTCATGCTTAGATGGTGTGTCAGAGCAGAAAGAAGACTAAGTTCAAACCACACAGTAGCTTGGGTCTGGTTGAAGAATCAAGTTCACAATAATTAGTGTTATGATTTGTAAATTTCAAACCATCCCACTGCTTAATCCTCCAACACTCTCACCACTAAAAAGCTAACCATTCAATACTAAGAAAAAGCACTGACTATAGCCAAGGAATTTAGTGAAACCAACATCCTTTATAAATAAAATAGTAAGCTTGAGGAAGGTTAACTAAATAGAAAATAGCTAAAGATGAAAATATTTAAAGTAAGGTAAAGAATACAATTTCTAAGTACATTAATAAAACCAACTGTAAAACTAGACATGTGATTCAAAAACGATAAATACACAATAAAATATTGTTCATAACATACAGATATTTGACAATTTAGGTAGTATATAGAAGATAAAGGAAAAAAATAATTTTATGTCTACAATGCTCTTCCATGAGTAATATAAACCTAGATGATCTAAAATGAAAAAAGTCAAGAAGATTCTGTGGTTTAGTGTCCTAAATAATGTAACTATGAAGGTAAAAATTAATAAAATGAAATAAACAAATGTATTTAGGGTCAAATTGTTCATCCGAAAGCTCAGAGAAAAAGACAATATTGTATTTAAAAGATTCTATAATATACTCTGTTTCATTTAATAGTTTCAAGTAAATATAGCTGCAAATTTATCAGAGAATTTCAACTTTCTATGTTTTAAGGAAAAATAACAATAAAAACAGAGAACCTAAGAGCGTAGTTAATTTGGCTTTGTAAAGGCTTCTGAAGGGGTAATGATGGATTTAGCAACCTCGAGATTGCTAAAGAATAAATTCACCAGGGATAGAAAATTGGCTAATATACTCAAGAGCAGGATAAACATGAGTGAAGAGTAAATCTAATCCAAATAATCCCTTGTGATTTACGGTTTTATGAGAAAAAGGAATCATGTAATTTCAAGAGAACAATGGAAATGGCAGTACTTGATTATAATTGCCTTCCATGCACACATGAGGTCAAGCAGGCAGAAGAGTTAAAATGACACTTCCAAACACTGAGAGACAAATAGCCACAATAAAACAAAACAAACAAGAAACCTCAAAGCCTAAATATCTAATTTGACTTTCTTAAAGTATTTTTTTAAATGAGCTTGCACAGTTGTGATTAATCTCTCTTTTGGTCAAATATCAATTCAGTTGAGCTGTCGTATTCCAAGTAATTCAAATTACTCTTTCCATAGGAAACCACACTGGTATAGCTCAGGTCAATGCAATCTTCTCATACGGAGACTTCAAGCAAAGCTGAATAAGGAGGCATATGTCAAAGAATGAGGATCACAGCAAGAACATGGCACATGCCCCTAGTTTTTCTCACCATGGATAGTTCACTGAACAATGACCAGTTTGGCATTCACTGAGGAGCACGTGCCAAGTAGTATGCCATGAAATAATAGGCTAATGTTCCAGGAGAAGGTTCCTTTGATCTCTTAAATTCCCCAGATAATCACCCAAAGAACTGTTGCTCAGGTGTGTAAATCCATCAGTGCTCTGGTAGTATACCTCCTTCACACACACTATACTACATATTTAAACTATTTTAAAATAAGTGTTTATTTTTCATTAAATCTATTTATAAAACCACAGTTTGGCCTTAATATCAGAAAATGATTCTTTTCTCTTAAAGACACCACTCCAGATGTTTCTAGATACTCTCTAGTTCTACTTCTAGTGACTGTAGTTTCTATTTCTAGGTACTGTTGTTTCTATAGTGTCTAGTTACCTTGGTCCTATTTCATTCATTGGCAGTTTGTTCTACAGCACGCAGTGTGCTTCAGGGTGACAAGTTGCAGAGTATTTTCATGTTCATAGCAGAAAAACAAAAAGTCAAGGTAGCAAAGCTTAAAGATAAAACTCAACATAAGCAGATATTCACAAAACCTGCTATATCAACTTACAGTCCACCCTACCTGGTTCATACTTGCAGATGTAATTGTGTTTCATGTTGCACCTGTCGTCATTCCACTGGTAAAGGTAGGGGCCTCCAAGGCCAGGATTGGCCGTAGGTTGATGATACATCACGACGCACTTTTCACTTCCACAGGAAGGTTCATCAGTGTACCAGTTTCTGCAAACACAGGGTGAGGAAAGAGCAGGCCCACAGTTGTTCACATGAAAAATAATACAATACTTAATGAACACTAGTACAAGAATAAACTGTGCTTCGCTTATTCACAGCGGGAAATCTACTCTTGCCCCACTCTGTATAGAGCAGCGAGAACACTCCTAAGAGGTTTCGCTTGCTCTGTTCTGCCATCCTCTTCCGGTAACAGAAATCCCCCTCAGGACCCCACTCACCGGTACTGGGAAGTGCTTCCATCGGACCACCGGTAGAGATCTGGGCAGGTACCGGATGCTTGCCCCTCTCCATTTCTCCAAAGGCCTATCCAGAAATCACCATCAGAAATCCCTGTGCCTGGTTTCGTCAGGTTCTGCAACATGCTTTCTATCAACTTCTGCTCTGCTTCGTTCTCCAGGCTGAGGAGGGCGCCCTCCTCGCTCTCGCAAGCCAGGCGGGCCTCCTGGAAGCTCACGCGGCTGGACAGTTCGTGGAAATAGGCCATTTTGTAGCAGGGGTGCTTGTAGTCAGCAAAACACACTTTTTGGCCTGAAAAAACAAACAAACAAACAAACAAAAAAAACAGATGAAGACAAAACCAAAAGTTTGATTTTTAAAAACCGTCAAAGGTGAATTTCACATACGCCTACATATTCAGCAGAATGGACTTTCCCGAGGACCACTGCACACAGGCAGGATCCTCTCGGGGCATAACGAGGCCGGAGCGCATAGGATTTGGCTACATCTACCAGCAATGGAATTTTTGGTTCACACCCTCCTCTTTTTACCAACAAACATGTGGGCCAAGATTGTAGAGATTCTCCCCAGTGGCCATGCTGTTTTGTTTTGTTTTTCATTATCTCTTTGGTACACCGCTGATCTCTGGTTGTCAACTTCAAATCTGCCACAAATCCCTGGTCATGCTCCTTATCCCCAAGCCGCTGTCCACGCCCTACACCACTTTCTTAGTCTTTGTCTGATTTCAGCTTAGCGTTAGCCTGGGAAAACAGACTATTTCACCATTTATGTAAAATTAAGTTAAATGACTTTATGAGAAAATGAAGGCACAGCTTCACTGCTTTCTTAGGATTCATCTGCATGAACATTATTCTTATTGCGATTGAAGGCTTTTTTTCACTATGTATTTGATGTTTTAGGCAATTCAGAAAAGTTGTCAGTGGTGGAGGGCTGGGGGTGGGGGATTGTGGTTAAACACTGGCTAAAAAATAAAGCATCCAAGCTTTGCTCTCTTAATTACAGGATATCAAACTGCAATGTTGGTATCATATCCACTCTCCGAGTCAGCAATTAATGACCCGCGATGACACCCAGAGGCAGGAAGGAGCAGGCATGGCGGAAGGCCATTAACCTCACAACAGTGCTTGAGTGACAAGCATTCAATAACTTGACACAAGCAGAGAACGGTCAACTAATAAAATGGCAGCCAGTTGTCCTCTGTCTCATTAACCATGATCTGGACCCAGAAGCAACACACTGAATAATATGAACAAATTAACAGACTGCCCCAGCTAATTGTTAATGAAAAATAACAGAGTAGTATGAGCATCCACAGGAAACTGGAATTAAAGAGACTTCAAATGGACAAATCAGTCTGAAACTTTCCTTGAGAGATGATGATGAAAGTCCCAATGATTGAGTCTAATATAATTATTATTTTTAAAAATTCTCCTAGTTTATTATTAGGTTTTGTGATGACTTCATTATTTTAAAATGCTGTTTCTGGTAATGTTCTAACAATGCTGTGAAGCCTAGTGATTTTTATGCCTATATTTTAAAATCAGGCTCTGTTTCCATTTTCATCTTCTACATCCTTTACATACTTCTAAGTTTCAAAATATCTATTAACTGCATTTCCTTGAGGTTTCAATTTGTTTGGTTTTTCTTTCTAAGAACTATGAGACTTGGATTTGATTCCAGCACTTTGAAAATATTAAACTTGTACAACTAGATTGTTTCACAAGATGTCAAAAAGCCAAATTAAAAAAAAAAAAGGGAGAGAGGTTATCCAGAAGTTTTAATAAATAAAATTATTTATGTAACAAATATGCATTCAGAAGATGCATAAGTATGATTGCTAAAAGTCTCTGCTCATTATCTTTTGTAAAATAAAAAAGTAAGTGCAACACAGATTTATTATTTATGGTGTGGATACAAAAGTGATGAGGCTAAACTTGTTATAAAATTAAGATAGAAATTCTAATTAAATGCATAAGAGCTTTTAGTGTCATGAGAAAATTTTAATACCACTATTAGGTATTAGCAAAGTAGATAAATGTTAGTCTCAGAGGAATAAAAAGAACAAGAGAAAATCCACAGACAGGGGTTATATCTAAAATAATTAACAACTAGTACTGCACAGGCAGGCCCTGGATGACAGCCAGCCTGACACTTGCTATGGCTGTGGATGATGGAGAGGTCCCGGGTCCTGGGCGAGGCGGTGGAGATTGTGGTGGCTGCATTCCCAGGGAACTCTCAGAGAATCAGGACAGTGGCCAACTACCAGCTACAGATAGACATTAACTCCAAAGTGTATTGATTGAATACCAGCTGTGTCCGCAGATTTTGAACTGAGAAGTCACTAGCAGTTCAGACCTGGCATGGCAGTTTTTAGGAAATTATGGAAACACTGCAGTTCTTTTAATGATACATGCATACATCATAGTCAGTTAAAGCTGACACTGGATTTCTTTACATCCAATTGCACTTCACTGATTTCCACCTTACTGGGCAAATTTAGTCCAAGTTGCAGCAAAAGAAAAAGCTATTGACCTGCTCACTGTCATTTCAGCTGATCACATTTGCTATAATCGAAGTGGAACTCCAGCAGCTGGGAAACAGATGCTGTCCTGATTCCCAGAAAAGCCCCATTAATACCGATCTGGAAGCAACTTTTCCCACTTCTGTGAGGGCTAATATTCCTAGAGAAGCATTATGATGAGCTCCCCTCTCATTCTGTGAGATCACAGGGAGCATTCCTGTTTAAATGTTATATTCAGATAAAATCTTCCATCCACCAATTTAAAACACAGGAATTCTAATCTTCCGTCTATGACATCTATTTCCATCCAACCCATCTACTCTCCCACCTACTATTCTACTACCCATAACATTCAGATAAATATTCAGGTCATTGTATACAGTTTCTGCTGCATGAAGGCTACCTTGATACTATCTAACAATAATTTACTAAATGTTGCCTAGCACCTGTGCTGAGAAATACCCTTTGACTATTGGCTTATTTACAAGAGAGAAAAAAGACCTTCCACCTAGGAGTCTACACCTATTGGTTACACACACACACACACACACACAACTACCTATGTACTCATGAACTTTTATTTAGAGATAATTCTCAGCATTGCCTATTAAAATAAACATTCCTATCACTATCAGAGCTAAGACTGCTCTATTTCCATGAACATATGACTTCGTCTTTTTTCTTAGTCATTAACATTCCTTTAGCGCTAAATATTGGCAGAGTTTTAAGTGCTTTTGGCAACAACGTAAAAGTGGGGCCAGACTCATAAGTGCATTGCAATTTCCTTATTTCTTCCTGAATAGAAAGGATCTAGGGTTTGGTTTTATTTTGTTTATATGTATTAACTTTCTGAAAGATGAGTCCTCAGTTTTTCAGGAAAATATAAAAATTTTCCTTAGACCTCACACTATAATCATATATTATCAATATTAAATAAGTACTGCACTTATAGCACATTACTCAATAAAATGTAGAAGACATTTTATGAATTTCCATTGTTCAATTATGACCTACCTGAGGCTGCAGAGAAAAAAGTTGTATGAAAGAGGATCTACATGATAAACCCAAAGCAGACTGCCTGGCCTGGAAACACTTTATGAATTTGTTTTTCATAATTCTTTCTTGCTCCCCTCAACATCACCCTGAAGAGCATGCTGGTGCTCCCCCAGACAGGCCTCTGAGGGATGCCAACACTTCTGAGCCAGAAAGGAAGGGAAAGATTTTGATCCTGTGTTCTGTCTGCTTCCAGTGTTCAATATTACGCCAACTTCTTAAGAATTTTCCTTTACAAAAAATAAGTTTTGTTACAGTAAACTTTATTTTTGCTACAGAGATTTTATAATGCAATGAACTGCATGGTGCACTATGAAGATGATGCTGTAATCCAGTTTCCCACATTGGTAAACGAAACCAAAACTGGAGGCTGGGTCACTCTACATGGTGGTGGCAGCCGCACCCACCTCCCCCGCTAGGAAATGCCACACGCTTCCTGACAAGGAGATGAGACTCACATTTGTTATAAATTCTAACCTTTAAAATCAAAATAACAAAGTAACCCAAGTAACTGGGTGATTTAAGATTTCAAGCATTCAATCCATCAGAAGTGGCTTGGAATCCCAGAGTTGGACTTGAACTGTGGGGACATACCTTAAACTTTCCTGGTCTCGGCTTTCTTACCTAAAACATGAGTGGTTATGAGTTTTGAAGAAATAATAGTAATAAAATAATAGTAGCCTGACATTTATCATCAATAGTTTAGTATGCAGGGCCTCAGTGTTAGCACAATCCATGCCTTTGAGTAAATGAGGAAACAATCTCTCCTGGTGATATACGCTGTTCGGCTAGAGAAAACATATAAAAAGTGTTTTCCTCCAGGTGGCCTTAGCTCCAGGCTCAGGGCTGGCCACGCCGAGTCCCCTCTCAGCTTCTTGGCAGGCACTCCTGGGCACAATATGACCTGTAGACTTGTGTCAAACCCTTGTAGCCCTCAACAACCCTGTGCTCCAGGTGCTCTCGTCCTATGTTTAAAACAGAAGAGAACAAAGAAAAGTCAAGTTGTTTTCCCAAATTCACACAGCTCCTAAGTGGTAGAATCAGGGTTCAGAACCGAACCGCCAGGCTCTCCAGTTCGTGCATCTACCCAGATTCCCGTGCAGCACCCTGATCTGTCTCAAATACAACACTTTTTCTAAGCTGAAAGATTCAATAAATAAAGGGGTTGATGAATAAATACATTATTCATGTTTTCTGTTATAATTATGAACATTGATTGATTATTGATTACTGGGTGACTAATAAATGCAAGGGGTTGGAACTTCAGAGTTTGTTTCTAAGTAGATTGTGGGTTCCCTATTACTGAACATTTAGCCACAGGATTGATATTGGAACATCAATCTCATATCTTCAGATGATATATGTCCTTCATGATTGTTTTATGGAGCCATTTGATTTTCCAGATAAAACAAACAAGGCCCAAATTGAGGACTTCTTCCTCAATTACAAGGCGGATAACTTGAATCAAGTTGTCAGGCCATGTTATATCACCAGTAATGTGTTAAAACAGTGAAACAGTCTCTCCTGCCTGTGTGTACATCTGGCTACCAAACACGAGGTGCCCAGCACAGAGTCGTTGGTGAGAACATCCTCGGGATTCCCACTTGCACCCCTTTATCGAACAATACTGACTCTCTTCTTTTGTTAATGGCACAGATGTTGCCATCTTCAGGAAAAAGAGTTATAGAAACAAAGCCATAAAATGCTGAAAAACAGCAGTTAGGGATTAATGGTTATGATAAATGTGTAGTTTATGAAATGTCTAGTAATAAGATTAATTTGTTCCTTTCTTGCCCAAGAGATACTTAAAGTAATTGCATCTTTGAAAACTGCACCGTCATCACTTTATGTTTTTTGATGATGTCATGGAATACTACCAGAGGCTGGGATATCAGTTTTTTGCATCTCCTTTGCTGTTCTGTTAATCTATAGGCTACTGAACACCACCACGATTTTGCAGTATTCTGTGGCATCTGTATGATAAAAAGAGAGGTCTCTAAATCATCCAGTCTCCTAAATGAAATTTTTGCCAATTTTAATAAGTTCAAATTAATACATATTAAAATGTTCTGCAGAAACTTGGAGCTACCATGAAACACAGTCAATGCCATTTTGCAGGAGAAACAGGTTGGGAATCACTGCTGGGTGCACTAAAAAAAGAGGGAGAGGTTAAAATAATACACATCTACGTGCTCTTCAAACACATCTTCCCATCTTAGGAACCTGAATTTTGAACTCTTCTTTTTCATATGTATCCATATGAAAAATCCATGGGCAAAATCCTCTTACCTTTGTCCGAAAGATTTCATTATCTGCCAGTCACTTGACAAAATTAAATGACTGCAGTCCCATAGGTAATCTCTACACATCTGTACTCAGCAACAAATCAGTACAGGTCTAAGACCCTAAAAGTAGTTTCCATCTTAGAATCATGAACTCACTAAACACGCTCTGATTGTTATCCTCATGGTTATATATTTGCATTGCATATTCATGCATCAAAATAAGCATGGCAACTAACCTATAAAAGACTTTGCTACTATTGCTAGCTAGTAATAAATCTTATAGGAAAGATGATGATGAAGTTGTTTGAAATGCTATTTCTTCCAAAAATATTTTCACTTCATTTATCTCAATTTTTATAATACTGGAAACTATCTCATAAGTGAATATTTTAAAGTACTAACATGACAATTTCTATAAAGGATTGTTTTATACATTCTTGCCATTTTTCTGGGGTGATTATTTTGGTATACTACATAGAAATTATAAATAATTTCTGATATTTAATTAATAGAAAATGTATTTTATACATTGTAAGTATGTTCCTTATAATGGTCCCAAGAAACCTGTTGCAGTCAACAGATACTTGGGAATTTTGGTAAATGGTCCCTAGTGGCATGAAAAAGTTGGTGCATCACTCGAAACTTAACATTGATCAGGCAGATTAGACCTACTACTTCCAAAATGTCCAGGTTTAAACTTCTCTGTGTTCATGCCATTATGGCTGAAATATATATATTTTAAAAAGATAATCTTCAAAGCATAAGATCTCAAATCAATTTATAATGCTTAAATGTCCATGTGAACTTGTATGGCCAAAGACAATTAAATCATTCATAAGAAAAATTTAATTGTTTTAATATCAAGTAAACATCATCATTTATGCTAAATCAAATAGATCATGTTCAGTTAATTAGAAATTTTCCAGATGTCACCTACAAGATGCCTATAAATAACAGGAGAACACAGCAAAAGGTTTGCAACAATTTGTGCAATAACAGAATGCAGAATAAACGTTCACCAACAATTTGTAAGTTCTATTTTTGCATTATATATCTCTTTTCCTCCCTTGCAAAGTTTAAGTCATAAAAATAAGAATATACTAAAAGGATACTATTCAATTCAAAGAAATGTTTCTACATGTTTAAAAAACACCTTGTGCTCAAAGCCTGATCTTTGATGTTTATTCATCTGCAAAAAAAAAATAATAATCTGATAAACACAAAAGCAGTCAGATATGTGATTCAGATGAGCCCAAATAGTAAACTTTTCCCTTCAAGTTAAATTAGGGGGTAAAGGAGCTAATGGTATGGCTTCTATAATAGCCTTATTTGACACAGTAAAGTTTTCATTTTATAAATATTAACAGTCTGATTCTCTTCCAAAATAAAAGAAAAAAAGTAAGCAGCATGCATTTCTAAATGACATTTCACAATGTAGTTCATTCCAGTGTCTCTAGAGTGCCAAAAAGTTAGTAGGGAGTGAAAGATAACTACACATTTAAGAATTGTATTCTGAAGATGTAGACCATCACATATTGCTGAGGGGGAGATCAGTAACAAGCTTAATATGCCAGTTTCTAAAAAGGTCTGGCTTCACTGCTGATTAAGCTGCTGTCATCTGTCATCTATCTCTACCTCTAGTGACACCTGTTATTAGATGCACATAATGTGAAAAGGAATTTGTGCTTTTTACATTAAAAACCGTCCTGCGCTTAAAACACATGTCCATATACATTAAAAAATATTCATTGCAACACTTTAATTAGCATCACAAGAGATTTCAATAAAAGAAGATACCTATGCTCAATTTTCAGCAAGGCCCTATTCATGCACCCCAGGCTTTTGAGAACCTTGTTTTCAAGAGACCTTCCCCAAAAGTAAGAAAGAGTGAATCAAATATAAATTGCTCAACAATAGGAGAGTGAACGGCGAAGGAAAAGAAAAATCAGAGCGAACTCTGGGAAGCTTGCCAATTCTGATCCATTTCCCTTGCACTGACTCCACCGACCAATTGGACACCTCCTGGGAGCACGAACCTGCAGTCGTCACGGAGAACACCTCAGCCCAACTCAAGAGGACTTCATTGGCAGAGAAGTCCCCAACTTGCAATGACGGGTGCCAAGGAAAGGCATTAGGCACCATGACCAGTGCCCTGGTCTTCGTCAGCCCTCCCAAGAACAAAGGAAGTGTGCCCAGGGGTCGGTGAGCGTCTCCGAAATCCCCCCAGTGAACACGCGTGGGGATTTATGTGGAGCCAGGCCAACAGGGGGTGGCATTCTGCAGTGGCCCTTCTGCCCCTGGGCTCCCTCTGTGCCCGCGGTACCCCACCCCTCTCGCAGGTGCCCAGCTTGCCCTGTGACCAACTCTCTTACAAAGAAAGTGGAAATAGGTTACTCCTGGAAAACGTATGCTGCTCAAGATAAAGCAGAGCTCGTCCCGCAGCTATTGAACCAGGCACTTCCGAACATTTTTAACTTTCTGCGTGTATTTTGAGGGGCATAGGAGAACGCAGAGCAGAACCCGTTTCCCACGCCTCCTCCCGGCCCCTATCCCGCACAGGTTTCCAACCCAGGGCGAGCCTCCAGCCCAGGACGGGCTGCCCGCACCGCCCCCGCCCGCGCCCCGCGATCCCCGGCCTCGCGTCCTCGCGGGCGGGCGCCCACTCACCACTGACCACGCGGCGGCAGAAGGCGCGGTGTCCGCACAGCAGAGCGGCGCCCAGCAGCAGCCAGACCACGCGGCTCATCGCGGCGCGGCGGCAGGGACTGTGCGCGCTGAAGGCGGCCTCTGCCGGCCACGCAGCCGGGCTCCAACCCCCGATCCTCTCTGCCTCCCCGCGGGCTCTACTCGCGTCGCCCGAGCCCAGCCGCCGGGTCCCCTGCAAGCATCGCCTGTGGCCGGACCTGCGCCGGGCGCGGGCGGGTGTCGCGCGGGTGTACTGGGCTAGAGCGCGCCAGCCGGGGGTGCGCGTTGACGGAGAGGGACCAGAAGTTAGGGGGTCCCTTGTCGGTTTCAGGTCTGTAACAGGAGCCTGGTTAGATCCCACGGGCCGCTTGGATCCTCTCCCGGGCTTCTCGCGAGTGAGGGACGGAGTCCGTGCGCCCTGGCGGCGGGTCTCAGGGCGGTGGCGGCGGCGGCAGCAGCAGCAGCAGCAGCTCTGCGCCGGAGATGCCGTCTTATATACCCACGTCCCGAGGCTCCCGCTCCTCGCTAGTCACAATCTTTAACTACTTCGTCTCTCCTGCCCTGTGGAGCATCCCGGCCCCTCCCCTAAAGACTGGAGCCACTTTGAAAACAGTCCACTCAGCAGCTCCACCTCCTCCGCTCCGCTCCTCCTGGTCTTTCTTTCCTTCGCTAACAGAGCCGAGGCTCATTTGTGTAAAATGTGACAGCTTTGCCATTAAACTCTGGCAAAAGTTGGACCCATTTGGTTTTCTCAAAGATTAATGTCCATGGGGATGCCAAGTCGTGGGGCCTTTCTTTTTTTTTTCCTTCCTTTTTTTTTTTTTTTTTTGTGCTAAATTGCTTGATCATATGTATTGCTAGATGCAGGGCACGAGCCACTATTTAAGATGGATTGGCGGAGTGGGAGCCAAAACCTGCGTAGTGAATTATATAATATGGCAGGTTTTCCCCCATCTAGGTTTTGCAAATAGATGACTTCCAAGCAGGTTGTTTGACTAAATTGCCACAGGAGTAAATTGTAAATTGAAAGATTTGAAGCACCGTTTTCCTGACTGGTTTTAATCTTAGTCTTTGCAGCCCCAGAGAAAACATCGAGGCAAAATAGATATTCTGAATACTTGGGAATTTCATGGATATAAATGTCTGTATTTCTTTGCAATAGTATATCAGTGACCTAGGGTTTGCTAGAAGCAAGACTCCTTCTGAAACCTACAAAGGCATTTTTCTGTAACCTTACGAGTCTTTACTAAAACAGTCCACCCAAGGGTGCCAGGGTTTCCTGGAGCGCCGGAAAGAAGTTCATGAGTCTCATCTATAGCACATGATAGGAACCTTGAGGACCCTTTCACAATGAACTTCCGGAAGTAGGATTGGTATTTGCCATTACGTTGCTGTAAGTGCCCCAGGGTTTGTTAAAATCTGTTGTTTTTAATGGGTAGTAAAGTTTCCTGTGACACCTCCCTGTCTATTTTTCATAAGCCACAGAACACCATAAACATGTGTTGGACTATTTTCTTGCAAAAGGTTAATCGTGCTACATTAAGGACAAGCTTTGCAGAATAAGAAAGTTTAGCATTTGTGAAGACCTTAGATATAACTAAGCCCACCCTACTCAAAAATGTAGAATTCCAAAAGAATTATAATGATGTCTATCCCTTCACCTCTGCTTGTATAACTACAAAAATACTAATCTGATATCAGGCGGCGGGCAGTTAACACATCTTGTAGAGGGCATGGATGTTTTCATTTCACTACTAGCTCAATATCCAAAAGAAACAAGCACTGCTGGGATTTTGCATGGACAATGGATAACTGATAAATCCTCAAGGCAGTGGAGAATTGCTCAGTCCTATGAATCTTTACAGAGTGTCACTGGTGTGTCTGTGGTCAGAGTTGCTCCAGGGGCTCACAGTCCAGGGGGAGAAAGAAACCGAATAATGACACGGTGTATAAACACTACAGTAAAAGGGTGAACGGGGTGGCATGGTTAGCTCAGAGGAACGAGGAATTCGGTATTTTTGCAGGACTTTCCTAGCTGCAGTCCAGGCTGAGGGTGATGATCCTCATTGGCCGGTGACCTGGGTTCCTTCTCCAAAGGCCTGCACAGCTAGGACTCTGAATGGGAGCTTCTTTCTCCTTCCCTGCTGTCCTACTCCTGGACATCGGTGTAGCCCAGAGCTATGGTGGACAGGTCCTTGTTTGGGAAGGAGTATCTGTGCATTACAACATAAGCACTGGGGGTAATTTCCTACATGGCCACAGATCCCCAAATGCCCCAAATGTCTCTAACACCTAAAAAGCCAGCAACTCCTTGAAGCCATTACTGAGCAGGGGAGCACCGTGGTTTTTGTCCTGCAGAAAATCCAAATTATAACTGTATATTCAATAAGACTGTACATATGTCCTAAAACATAGTTTCTTTAGGTTAGGATTCTGTCAGTTCAGGGTAGCCATACTGGTTTACTAGGGCTGCTCAGCAGTTATACAGAGAGCTGTTTGACTTACTAGGAAAACACATTTTTAAAGGCTCTTTTTAGAGATGATGTTTTTAAGGGGACTGCCTGATAAGACCAGGCTTTTTCTTTGTTTCTCCTTTACTAGAGAACATCTGGATAGATCATCACTAAATTCAGAGAGCACATTTTGGGTAATATTAAACACAGAATAGGAGTGGTACTAGATATCGTTTTGCAGAGCATGCTGAGAGTATCTCTCAAGTAATTTTTTAAATATAGTGTAGTAGGAGATATACAACAAAAAATTTCAACAAAGTTGCATTTAAAAGATGAAGTCATGGGGGGGGAGGGGTAAAAAGCAAATATTCATTTTTTTTTTTTATCAGATAACTTTTATTGTTTTTCCCCTGTGGATAAAGTATAATGTATCACAGAGACAAATGACTTTCTCATAGCAAACATAATTCAGTTCCACATTAATGGAACCAAAAGAGAAGTTTAACAACTGCTTTCAGATCAATCAGGAGTACGGGCTCCCTCAAGAGCAACCTCAGGGTACTGTGAGGAAAGCTTGCCCATGCATGGAGCGGGACTTACAGACCCCGAAACCAAGTGTGAACGAACCACGTGACTGGCCATCAGGAACGAGGTCCATAACAAGATTCTGTGCCCAGTTAAAACAAAGAATCCAAATAAGAACTTCCCACTGATTAGGATAAAGCGCTCAAGATTGGTTCAACAACGTAAAATGCATCCCGTCAGTTCCCCAAAGGGACCGGCGATCTCAGTAAGAATGATCCCAAGGAACTCTCTGGCACGAATCCATTGCAGAGTCTCCAGAGGCTCTGAAACATCAACTGAGCAACCTTTGGCATCCAAAGTTTTGAAAAGTGACATTACTGTGGAATCTGTATTTCCCAAATATTCCAATCACTCCCTCCGTCTCCCCATTCCCTTTCGAATGCCTGCAATTCCCAGGGAGCATCTGTTTCACAAGAGCAGCGATACGTCTCCAGGACAGACAGTCGGAATGCCAGGCATTGGTTTGCAACCAGTGGCGTCTCACTTGCGCCACTAGACAGTGGCTTAGCCTCGGTCACAGCAGCGTTCGCTCATGGGTTCCAGGGCAAGGAGTAGCAGATGTGGTTGTCTTAGTCAGCTAGGCTGCTGTGACAAAGTTCTAGAAACTGGGTGCCTTATAAACAACAGACATTGATTTCTCAGAGTTCTGGAGGCTGGAAGTCTGAGATCAAGGTGGCAGAATAGCTCAGGTATAGTGAGGGCACTCTTCTGCGTTGCAACTGCTGACTTCGGGTTATATTCTCACATGATGGAAAGAGGGTGAGTGAGCTCTCTGGGATCCCTTTTATGAGGGCAACAGTCTCATTCATGAGGGCTCCAATCTCATGACCTAATTACCTCCCCAAGGCCCCACCTCCTAAAACCATCACGTTAGGGATAGGATGCCAACATATGAATTTGAGGGCATACGAACATTAAGCCCATGGCAATGGTCTGCAAAGAGGATTTGTTACAGTGTTTGAAATTATTACAACTTTATATTAATATGTGAAATGTTCATGGGATCCAATATTAATGAATTTATTTATTCATTTATACTTTATTTAATGATGGTTAATGATTCTCCAAAGCACTATCAATAATATTGCCAGGTAATAATACAATAATTTGAAAGTGAAAAAAGAAAACCATGACTGTAGAACCACTTTGGTGGTAGACAAAAACTGTTTGTTTTGTTTCTTCTGGAAAAGGTTGCCTGTCCCTTCCCGGAGGACAGCACTGAATTCAAGGGTTTTCTTCCAGTTCTCCAGAACCCCTGGGCACCTGTGCAAGCGTGTACTTGAGCAGTGGGCCAAATTTCCCCAAGATTCGCCTAGTCTTTTCAAAGCATGTCTGTGTTAGAGAACACATGATACCTCATTCAATAGCCAGTTCTGCCCTGGTGTGGCTCCGCTGATTCAAGGGTCTAAGGGGTGGTGCCTGCAAGAGGCAACCAATCGGTGTCCCTCTCTCACATTGATGCTCCTCCCCCCCAAGTCATTAAACATCATCCTCCTGTGAGAATTAAAAAAAAAAAAAAAAACCTTCTGCTCTTCTTCAAATTCCCAGAAGTCTGTCATTATAGGAGAGCCAAGGGATTGCACCGTTCATAATGCCCTGGGAAATTTGACGAAGAACCATACACACTACAAAAACATACTTTCCTGTCGTTTAAATTTTACATTTAGAAACACTTGAGTCTGTTACATGCTCTGAACATTCAGGGGATAAGTTAAAAATACTTAAGGAACTCAATTACCAGAGATATATCTTAGATCTGAAGAGTCACATGAATTTGTGTGAATGTCTAACTCAGGAAATTAAAATTTCCTTTTAGTGCTTACTTATTAATTTAAAGCAATGTAATCAGGTACTTTTGTAATTTTAGCATAATCTGTTACTTTTTAATCTAATGTTGCTTAGTTACTACATCTGGTCTTAATATACATTAATATAACAAAACAAAAGTGAGATAATTAAACCAAAAAAGGCATCAGCTGAAGTTCTACTTGCTTGAAGTGTCCGGCCTGAATTCTGTAGGTACGGAACTGACG